CATTTTTAAAAAGAAAACAAGGAAAATCGTAGATTTTGTACCTCCGGGTATTGTATGTTGCAGAATGTTGGGTGCATGTTGGGACTGTTCTTTGAATTAACTAGTGAATTCGCGCGAATACCATTTTTTTCGAAAAGTTTCGAAATGTTTGTAATTGGCTAAATGATGTGTGAAATCACTAATCCCCCCTAGCCGACTGGAGCCCAAAAATAGAAAGGACAGGAGGCATCCCGTGGCGAATCTGGCTGCCCGACCCTCAGCGACCAGCGATAATGTTAAACAAACACAGTAACGGGTGTCCGAGACACGAAAAGGAAATACAAATAAATCTTACGCCCCAAAACACATATACAATAAAACAAAAAAAACCTGCACCATCTACAGCCCATTAACAGAAGATACACCGAGTCCCGAGAAGGTCTGAGACAGTATACCACGGTATTCATGGTATTTGTAAGCCGAAAACATCCGAAATTGCGCAAGAGGGCGTTGACCCCTGACCCATTGGCCCACCCGGAAGTTCGCTGGCTGCGACCCGCGCGATCCCACCAGGCACGAGACGTTGATTGACGGCACATGTGGTTCACATCTGAACAGTTTCAAAGAATGCTGACACCCCTCTGTGTGAAAGGTCAGATCAGTGGTCGCGACCTCAATGGTGATTATACATGCAAAGGTCAAAAGCTGAGGCCCGACCAACACTGAAAGGGGTGTCCATCGGCGGTCTAAACGCATCATTTTCACGCACTAAAACACACATACTAAAAAACCAAAACAACGTGCACCATCTACAGCCCAACAGCAAAGCGTATACCAAGTCCCAGACATATCCGTCCACCCAAACGCGAGAAACGGGTGCGAACGCAATTTTCGTCTTCCCTCACAAAACCTCCGCGCTCGGGATATACATCCCTACCCGGAGGTAAAAAGAATTCTGACCGATGGCTGGCATACCAAATATGCCACTATATATTAAATACTTGACCCTTTGTCTGAACTTTGACCCTGACGTGTCATCACCCACACAGTCCTAGGTATGTTGCACAAGGTCAATGACCTGAGATGACTCACCTGGGCATACCTGTAACAGGTACACACAGGTACGTGTGCTAAATGCAATATATTATAGTGGTTAGAAATCAACTTTGTAGATTCGATGTCAGAATTGATTCTGGGTCAATCATTTGGAGCTATTAGATACAATGTATGTGCAGCCTTCTATCTAAGGGAATAGAGTCCTTCAAAAAGTCACTTTTGAGGAGAGCCACACCTTGTGCACATGAAAGAACATTACAATGCTAAGTCTGGACTTTTTTTCTTCGGTCACCACTTCAGTCTGCTATATTCTCCCTGTAGTATGCATCAATATGTGATGGCTTGGGCAAATCAATTCCTTACCCACCTCGTGATAAATTAATGATAAAATACTCGACAAAATCATATGAATTTGACTATCACTACAGGCATTGTGCAACAGTCACGCAGCAGCTGTAATCGTATATGCACATGTCAAAGTTCGCCCCCAGTTTTTGTTGACATGCAAAACCACATGGCTAGCAGTCCGACTGTAAACACACTACTTGTGTGTGCTTCAGGTCACGTTCTTATTCTTAGAACATGCATTACCGGTATGTGCATTGTATGTTGGTATATCTGTGACTGGGTACCTTTCAAAGTTTGTCTTTGTGTTTATACAAGTCCACATGTTGAGACTCACACATTTGGGAACGTTTGTTAACAGTTAAGCTTTCTAATGTAAAAAGGATATGTATGAAAAATAGCTCCACTGGATATTTAAGAATTGCGGACTTTATTCACTTTTTCCCTTTCTTTCTTTATTGCCAGCCATAATGTTGCTATCATTGTATCAAAGAATTTTGAAATGTTTGCTGTTGGAAGGGTCTGGAATTTAATTTAAGATTTTCTACCAGTTTTACTTTTTAGTATGGGGGATTATTAAGTTTGTAAAACTTTGTCAGAATGATAAGCTCTACTGCCATGGTATTGTAGCTAAGTTGAGCTATGTAGGATAGCACAATGACAGACTACATATTAGCTGTGTATATAGCCCTAATGGAAGAAGAATTTGAGAGGATGTGTTGCACGAAAAGGCACGCAAGGTTTTCATAGACAGGAAACAAACCAAAGCCAAATCAAATTATTTGCATGTTTCCTTTTATTTTCTTGCAGCTTTGATAATTTCAAAAGTCAACAGAAAAAGATATATTTGCTCTTTTAGGAAATTCTTTTTTTTTCACATTCTCCACACAAAGAAATAGAGGAACCATTGACATTTGAGTTGATTTGATTTGGCCCCTCTCTGGTATGTAAAGTGTATGTTTTTGGACAAGGTCAACACTAGACTCTATTCCCGTCTAATCGCCCACCAAGGTAGGCTAGCATGGGAAAATTCCACTGGATTCTTCCCACTGCTGAAGGTCACCTTCAAATGGACAGGTGTTCTAGCCTGGCAGGGAACTCTGGGTAAGTTGTAAGGAACTCTGGGTAGTTTTGATAAGGAACTCTTGGTAATTTTGGTGAAGAACTCTTAGTAAATAAAACATACCTGAGGTCACCTCAGGTAAGCTAGAGTATATATACTGTCTTTTCTCTATTGGCATTGACTGTAGGCAATTTATAGATAGTCATCTAGGCCTATAACTTAAAAGAGGCCAGGTTGAACAAATTGGCATGCCATTACTAGAACAATGGCAAAGCCTACAATGTATGTGCGTGAGTGCTTGCTGCGCTCATTTAGATTGTATGCTATAAAGTTTTAATGGCCCAAATGGCCTGAAGGACGCCAGTCTTGTGTGTTCTGTTTTAGCCTGCTATAATGGAGTGTACTAACTACTGCAGTACAGTATGGCCATTGTTCAGAAAATGGTCTTAACGTTGTATGTTACCTAATCAAATAATGTACTCTTCTGAAAACGAAATCAGGTTGATTTGAACCTTGCTTGATGACACCATCCTATAGGCTACATGGATATATGTATATGTTTCTAAACGTAAGAAAAAACAAATTTTCATGGCATGGCCTCAGAACTGTTTTGCATGGGCCATAACAGGTTATTGAGTTATTACCATTTGACTGTGAGCCAACCTTGAACAGTCCTGTTCCATAATAAGCCTGGAGCCAGAACACAGTTGAAAACACAGTTAGTATCGACGCAGTGTTCGAAACAAGGAGGGTGAAAAATGGGTTTCTAGGATCCGGAGACTCTGTAATCACTTCTCCAGGGACGGGATTTCATTTACTAAAAGAGGATTGGATATGGGTCAGCAATTTCCGGGTGTGGGCTGGTGTTACCGTAGTGATGGAGCCAGGCATGAGGGCCCCTGCCCTGTCTGCTGACATCACAGCCCAGGGTGCATGTTTGTACTGTAAATGTACATACTTTAAGCCATGGTTTTATTTCAGGATATGACGGAAAAGAAAGTTATTGTGGTATTTAAAGCTCTTCATGGTTGATGCAGTTCTGTCTTATGAATAGAAAAATAAAACACAATTATTGTGGTGTCATGATGGTGTTCTGTTGAGGATATCACAGAAATTGTAAAAATAAACCACTGCAAACATTTCATAATTTACAGTAGTAGAAGGGACAACTCCTTGTGACAATTTGTAAATGGTACTTCCTGCTTTCCTGACAAATTATTTTCTGATTTCACATGAAGTTTTTAGCAGGGGCCTGGTATTATCATGTAGCAGGGGCTGCAGGGCTGTAAATGCCTACTTCCTGTTATATTTTGAATTCCAGAATGAAGAATATTAGCTGTTATGGTCCCTAATAGAAGGCATAGACATAGAATGTATGTAAAAAAGAAGTAAACATTGTTGAATTAGATGACAGGTTGACTGTATATGAATTATTAACTGCAAAATGTTGTTGATTATCTTGCTCTCCAAAAATACCTGACCTTTGACCTTGAACAATTTGTACTGACATTTTTGCAACCTTTCCTTATCATTTATGCTGCTTTAATTTCTATATGACATTAATATTTCTATTAATCCATCAGTGTCAGTATGATCGAGTCAGTTACCCCTGATACAGAATCTGGTAAAAGCATATGTCAAACCAATAAGTATGTCCTTGCTTAGTATTATTGTGAAGCCGTGCCAAGAAAATCTCCCGTTTCTGAAACATTTTCAGACGGGACAGGAAAAGGAAAACAGTCTTAACATTTTTGTGCTGGTCTCCAATCACCAACAGACTGATCCCATAGCTCCGCCCACCTCAGTCAAGATGTAGAAATGTAAAAGAAAACATGATAAAAATGCCAATATTTCACAAACATGCTGCCACTCTGTCACTGGTTAAGCCCCAAATTGTCATGCAGTCATTGGTTGAACTGCTGACTGTGATGGACAGTCAGGGCTGATGTACAGACCAGTGGTACACCTTGACAGTCCAATCCACAGTTTGGTATGCAGGAACATGTACTGTGTTACTTGCCGTAGAACCAATATGCAGGGTTGGGTGGAGAATTTGTGTGAAAGGTCACTGTGTAGGTTGCTGTGTGTGGTGATGACGTGATGATGACATTTACCATTTCATGCTGGTGGATTTGTATATTGCCTTTGTGCAATATGGGAAATGGCTGACTTTATCAGTTTTTTAACAGGCCTACAATAAAAGTGCATATAACTTACAAATATTACAACAGATGCGGTGTACATAAATGTATATGTGTTTTGTTAGTCATTATTCTACATAACAAGACTTGGTATAGTGATACTGTACTACTAAATGGCCTTTGATGTTTATCAGTCGATGTAAATGTCATGTGCTACGTATAGACAATTAGTGATGACTAATGATGAATCCCAAATATTGCAATAACAAATGTTGGCACAGATGTATGTACTTTTCACCTATGGGAGTATACTATATACTTCAAAGATTCATACATGAATACATTGTAAAGCAGATGCATGATCTATTATATATGTTAGTGTATAAAGTTAACCCAGTTCCTTTCTGTTTCTGCAGCCATTAGACCTGAGTACCAGGGGGAAGGAAGGAGACCCAATGGGACAGGTAAGTGTTCTACATATTCTTACTGTGGATCAGTTCTCAGACAAAAATCCAGAAGTCAGGATAGTAAGTTACTAACAACAAAGTACTTGAAACAAGAGTCAAGACTATGACTAGATGTAATTGTTTTCACTGGCAGTTCAGAACTTAAAATACTTTTTTCTGCATACCTGCAGTGATGCAGGAAACATTGAAGATTACCTGCACTAGACAAATTTTACCTGCACCAGTGCAAGTATGCAGAAGAAGGTATTTCAAGTGTTCACAATTATGACGGAATGCCATCAGTAGCAATTATGGCTGTAAAGCAGTCCAGCTGTAACTAGAACAGATCTAGTACCGGTATTCACTTTTCCAACAACACATCATAATAATGACTTAATCTATTAGCTGTGTGCAGTCTTGGTTCTATTGGTGGTAGCGTGTAATGGCAGCCATATTGTTTGTGAGTGGGGTTTGCACCCTTATGAATAGCAGGACTTGTACAATAGGACCATCTGCTAGGCTGGAACAACCATGGGATTCTGTATCTGTACCTATATAGCCGGTATAATTGCCCCTCGGCATAACACACCAGCTTTGACTACAGGCTTTAATGTTATCAATCCAGAAGCTAGCTGTTAAAATTTGTACCAAGTAAAATGGAACTCATAGTTTTCACCAAACATGGTAGGGGCATCCTTTTAGATAGTTTTAGAGAGTATGTGGAAAATATGGAGTTCTGATGAAAGGCTAAGGTGTGAGCAGCTGTTTAACATGTGTGTAATATATACCTACAGCTGGTACCACATGCCTATGATGAAGTTGATGTGTTGCCTCAAAGGATGTGCATACTGTAGATATTCACTTTGTCACTATTTACTATGGAGAGCATGTAAACTACAAAAATACATTAAAGATTTTCAGTCCTATGTCTCAGACTTTGTATACAAGATTTGCACTGTACATTGGTCATTTGCATGCAGTTAAGATATATCAATTGAGAAAAGAAAAAGGTTACAAAAGGAGAAGCAGAGAAAGTTCTAGCAATACTGGTTATACTGTACTACATGTACATCAGAAAAAGCAGGAATGGTTAGGGTATGCAAATGAGATTGACATCGAGGGTAAGACAGCTGTAGACAAATCGGATAGCAAGGAATTAGTGAACTGGTAATTGACAGAAATGGATGAACTCATAGGTATGGAACTAAAACAATAATCAAATGATAACCAAAGAACAGGAAGGAATCTGAATAATCTCATTTGCATAATAGACCTTTCTTTATCAATGAATATACAAATATATGTATATATATGGAATATATTTTGGGGATGACTCATATCATGCATGATGGTAAATTTTCTCCTTGCTGTTGATCAGCACAAATGTGTGCCTTGCAACACATTTAATGTCACTTTAGATTAAGAAAGCAATTGTTCACATCTTATCTATTATTGGCAGGGCAGTCACACAAATGGACAGAGATGAATGACTTCTCTGACTGACGTGTACATGATTTGACATACCAGTACGAAATGCCATTAGGAAATATACATATAGAATACAACACGGTGTATTCCGTATCGCCCGAGGTACCAGCCCGACCCGCGGGAGGGCTGGGACCGAGGGTGATGCGGAATACACCTTGTTGTATTTTATTTATGTCACACCCACCCAAGAAAACACGCCTTTCAATGCGAAATTAGCGAAAATTTGGTGTCCCTAAACCTAAACAATGCAACAACATCAATTCCAACGTCCGAATTTTGTGTTCGAATTTTCGAAAGCGGTGCAAGCGGTTTGGGCGAAACGCGTTCTAATCGTCTAATCGTCATTTGGAAGGCCCGGGCCGTACGCGTTAAGAACTCCCGGGCCGTACCGCTAGTTATCACACCGGCCGGAACACCCGTATCGAACGTAATCGCGGCCCAGGTAGGACATAAAGATATGTATGTAAGTTGAGAAATTACCATTAAACTTTAAAGATATGCCTAATATGAGGTACATGTACGTGGGCACACAGACTATGCAATATGTTATCTCAGTCATCCTATGCTCTATTATAGATGTATCTTTTTGTGCGGAGTTTGAAGCTAACACCGTACCTGGATAAAAGTCTGAAAAAAGTACCTTCCAAAAAGTCTGAAAAAGCCAACTGTAAACTCCTACATGTACCCGAGGCAGTATTTATAAAGCTTGACCATTGAAATAGATCCATATTGCCTTGGATAACAGTGTGTCTCCTGCAGCCTACAGGTAATGATGTTACAGATGTTACACAAAGATAAGGGAGATGAGACCATGAAAAAAGGTTTTAGCCAGAGGACAAGACTCATTCGGGCATAATACGATCTGTTAAAGTGTTATGAGGAAATGAACATGCAAGTGTTCTACCCATTTTATGTTAGACATGTATTGTAGTCCCACAGTCTCTAAAAACAACGGCCTTGTAGGTTTGCAGTATTCAGGAGTCACTGTACAGTTGATGTAGTCAGACAGTTTTTAGACAAGTCCAATGATATAATAATACTGTACAGTTTTTCTGAGTAAACAGTTATTTGTGTTGCAGATGCCCCAGACAGTTTTTGGCCAGCCCCTCCAGCTGAACGCTGAGCGCTGCCTCCTGTGTCGGTGTGAGAGGAAGGACCCTGTCCTCCCCCCTGCCAGCGATGGTTCCACCTCGGGAACGTCCTTCGACACACAAGGACTGGCTCAGGTCGGTGAACCCAGCAGTTTAATTTTTGTTATCCTGTGTAAAATTAACACTGGTACATTTTATCTCATAGCTTCTTTTGATGAATGTAGCATTTAGGTCTGTCTGAGGGAGCCTGTTGTTTTAGTTTTTCTTCCACCTGCCTGCATCTGCAATTTCCTGCAACAACACAAGAGCCAGGAAATTAAACTGATGTGGACTAAGCCCTTTAATTTCCCCTTCCCATATGATAATGTACATGTGGTTGTGATGGAGTAATAAGACTAAGAGTGTGCTAGAAAATGGGATATTGCATCTCTCTAGGGTTCAGACGTAGTCTTCAAGTAGATTATTTGGTGACTGCAAGACAGTATCACACTAGCAAGACAGTATCATTAGCAGGGCAGTATTCAATATGCCACCCAAAGTTAAGCTGGCAAAAAAAAAGATACCGGTACAGCAAAAAGCCCTACACCTAAAACACGCCAAAACTGAGATAAAGCGTAACTCCTACTTGGAGAGTACCTCAGAATGTCTGGATACTGCCCTGCCAATTAAAATGTCTTGCCAATTTAATACTGTCCTGCAGTACACCAAAAGATCTACTTTGTGATTACTGTATGCCAGATTTTGCATGTTTTATGAGAAACCTGCCTTTGTGGTGAGTCCACCACAGATAAGTTATGTGTTAGATAGTTAAGTCCCCATATGCTTGTGCAGGTCCCCCTGTGGGTGTGTCCTGACTGTCGGAGAAGTGTGGAGGAGGAGGAGAGGAAGGCAGCACTGGAACCATCACTGCTGGTAGGGAGTCTTCATCAGTATCTCCTGTGGTCCAGGTTTATTACCTTCATGTAATACACCTGGTTTTGTCCTTAGTTTGTTTGTTTGCCTGTATTTTCCATAGTATTTTCCACATGCTAGGCACATCCATAATATTATTTCCTGTCTTAAGCTACCTCCACTGCTTTTAAACTACATGTACATTACTCTTTAAGTTTTGAATAATACTGCAAGGAAGATGAGATAAGGTCTGTGCCCCCCTTTGTTGTTGTTCGTTGTTGTATTCTGACCCTTTCTACCCATCAGCCCCAGGACCTGTTCATGCCGTCCTCCGTCCCGTATCTCACGCCGGTCCCTGACCTGGGCGCCGGAGCAGGCCTGGTGACGTCCTCGTCTGAGCCCACCACTCCTAATGGCAGTGGCTGCAACTGTGAGGCCTGCAAGGAGAGAAGGTAGTGTAACCAGATCACATCTCACTTCTATCAGCCCTTCTACTGGTCAGGTCACTAAAAGCTTCAGTAACTGTTGATACCTACACCTCAAAATTGAGAACATTTAACTCCTGTTTTTGTCAAGAGAATTGGGAATACCTAATATGTTCTTTTATATGTGCTAACATGGACAACTGTCTTTTACCAGTGTGTTGGAGGCTGTGATAACTGGTTTCCATAGGGTATTATAGTGACAGAAGGAGAATTCTGGGTAAAGTCTAGAGTGTGACGACAACTGATGCTGTGTTTGACACATGAATTAAGCAGTGTTAGGCAGACATTAGTTCTTCCCAGTGCAAGTTGACCAAACCTTGCAGTCCTGTCTTATGCAGCTTATACTTACTACAAAATTAAAGGTGCCTAAAGGTGGCTTACTCATTATACAAAACAAACAAATACCCTGATTCTAACCTGACTTGTTTCTGCCATTACTTCAATAGGGAGATAGCAGCTGAGCAGGAGAGAGAGACCCAGGAGCTGCAGCAGTGTTGGACGGAAGTTAGGCACATGGTGCGATGTGTCTACAGGGAGGCGGGCACTTCTCTGGCCGGTAACAACGCTGTCCTTACTTAATAAAGTAGCCACATACAGTGTATCTAAACCTGTGTGCATGATACTGAGAAATGTTTGCAGTAGTTTTATTTTCTGCAAATTCATGACACGGTAAATACACATTTCTATTGTGTTACTACTGTACTACAGCAGAGTTTTAACTGTTACCTTAAAACACAGCAGAAACAACCTTTTCCTTACTACTGCAAAATTTATTCTTGGTAAAATGAAATGAATTTACAGGTATGAAAGCTAGAAGTGTAAAGTAAGGTAACTAAATGCTACACAAAGAAAATGTTAAGTGAAATGTTAAATGAAAATGTGACTGGATAGCTTTTAAAAGCTGTCAGATGTTTCATCCAAAAAGTATGAATTCAATTGGCTAATGATCTGTAAGTTATACCATGTATAAGTAACTGAAAGCTGTTTATCCCCTCCCCCCAGCTGAGGAGAGTCGTGAGCTGCAGATGGACACAGACAAGATGAAGCAGCTGGTGGGCAGGTGGGTCTCTCACCACAGTATCAGGCAGTTTTTGTAGACAGTGTCTCTCACCACAGTTTACATGCAGTTTCTGTACCCTGAGTCAATCAATCGATCACCGGCGGGCTTTTAGGGTAGAAGTGACCGTACCCAGTGTTGTACAATAACTTGTGTTTGAATGGCACTTTACTTGATTAGATTCTACGTAGTAGTAGTAGTAGTAGTATCCAGTCTTTCATTATACTACTGCGGGGGTTCCTGACATGGGTTGGCAGCAATCAGCTAGTCCTCACAGCACGTTTCCAAGCGGCACTGTCTAGCGGGTCCATACTGACAAGGCCGCACTCATATTCCAACAGTATTTTGATTGACTGTTTGATACGGTTCCAAAGTTTGATATGATCTCAACATTCATTGGCAAGTTTAACAAATATTACTAAATATCACGTTACCCCCCCTCCCCATCCCCAGGTTGTGTTCACGTGACCCCCACCAGCTGTACCAGAGGCTGGAGTCCCAGGGGAGAGAGTACGTCATCGAGATGAAGGTTCGACTCCTCAAGCAGCTCACTTCAGGTGGGTCGCAGTAGTAGCTCTTTTTCAACTGTGAACCTGAACAAATTTTATCAACAGGCCTGGGCATTAGCTGTACCTATTATAACAAGTTAGCCAATTGTCTGTAAGAACATACATGTAGCTAACTGTCTCTTTTAGTGATAAATTCTTGTCTTTGTATGAGGGTATACATGCTAATACATGTATCTTAATCTAAAAGAGTGTTCAGAAGTTTTCCTGATTTTCAAGTGCTGAATTGCCATTTTGAGTTGGAATTTTCCTATCTTTTGTGTAAAAATTGTGTCTTTTCATAAACAGTACATGTATAAACAATCTCTTCTATATTGTGCATGCTGTATTTGTGTTACTATGTAGTTTTCCCATGAACTGACAGTTTGCCCCCCTGTCCCCAGGTCACAAGACCCCCCCTCAGGCCAGACAGTTCATCGCCATGTTGCTGGATGAGTACAGTGCTCTGTGCGAGGCCGCCAGGCTCCTCACCCCGGCTCTGGACGAAATGGTGAGAAGCACACACCCTCCTCTCATGTACCTCTCAAACTGTGGGTTTGTCTGGACAAAGTAGGATTTGGGTGGGGAAGATTAGTCACAAAACGACAGGAGAGAAAAAGGTCAGACACAGGAAATAGGGTGAATGCAAAGGTCTCAGAATCAGAAGCCAGCAGCAGTCAGTTTGTGTCTCTTTTCTTATTAGCACCATTACAGCACGATTGCCCAGTGTGAACCACAGCATACATATGCATACCCAAACAATGTTGCTATTAAGACAGCATGCATGGTTCAGACATTTTTGGGGGTGAAATCAATACAACCGGATTTCCTAGTTGTAAACTAATACAGCACCTCCACCCACATTCAAACTTGTGTGTATTAACGGATGACATTGATGTGTTTTCAGGAGAAGGGTCACCTGTCCAAGTTCCAGCTGACGTGGGAGTTTGTGAATAAGCACCTGTTCCACAGTATTATCTACACAGACCCACTGGTACAGAACAGTGTGCCTGCCCTCATCACACAGCTCAGGTTTGTACACACTGCAAATTCATGTAGAGGAAGGGAAAAGGAGGGGAAGAGAAAAAGATGTTTTTGTCATGTTTTCAGCTCATGGTTGAAACAATCCTGGAGTAAAGTAGTCAAACGGTAGAAAGGCGAAATTGTGATGTATTGAATTTGCAAAGGATAAGACACTGTGAAAATAATACCACTGCGAACGATTCAAGATCCACAGTAATTTCTGTAGTATGTGTGCTTTCATGTTTAGATTATTTTTGAGGTATTGTTTTCTATAGAGCCATGCAAATGTATACTTGTGCCTTCCAGGTTGGGTGCAGCGTCTAAGGAGTCTTACCATGAAGACACCTACCCCAATGTGCTGCACAGGTAAGGACAGGAACCATAACATTATGTAAAACACAGGATGATTGGATCTGTATCGGTATAGCCGGTATAACCGCCCTTCGGCGTTACACACCAGCTTGGATAGAGAAATGGAAACACAGTAGGTTTTACGTTAGTTTACTGAGGTCTAAGTACTGTAGCAAAAACCTGCCAACCCTAGCATTTTATGGGGATGACTGTTATCAATGAATACTAAATTTATAGGGCTTTTTAGACATTCAACTTGTGGCCTCATACAACAGTTGCAGAAAGCATTAATTGAAAAGAGTTCACTTCGCTGTATGATATGGAAGTTGTTTTTCTTTCTGTCTTAAACTATTTACAAAGTGTGATTTTCTTGATGAAGAAATTGTCATATTTCAAGCAGCTCCAACAATAATGTGTCCTAGTATTAGTTATTAGATATGTTGTGTTAAAGGTTGTTGTGTTTTCCTCTCTGACAGATACCTGAAGTTTGATGATGAGATGACGATGGTACAGATGACATGGAGAGACTGTCAGCAGCTCATCGATGAGTACACAGAGGAACAGGTCAGACTGCTGGCAAAATTGTGGACTTGAAATTTACCTCTAGTTCATAGTGTTGCAGTAGTAGTTATAATGTAATGGTCTGCTATGCTGTTGATCTGTCAACACTTCAAAGGCTTGGAAAAAAGGAAGTGTTCATGGCAGTTGAAAAATGATATCCAAGAAGGATTGTTTGCTAATGTACAAAATTTATATTGCTAGGACTTATTGGACATCAGCCTTCATGCACGTTGATGAATAAGTGTCACTGTATTGAGAAGTAAAGAATCAAATGTCAGCAAACAAATAACTGATATACCCCCATCTTCTATTCCAGGCAACACTGAAGGCCAAGCAGAGAATGCTGAAGGAAGACTGGGAATTCTTCAAGGCCCAGAGGAAACTTCTGGAAGCACAGGTAAGTGAAGGGTCTTTCCCCTAAGGAAATTATTTGTGGTAAAACCTTAGGAGGGACATGAAAGTATCTATGCAACTAAATCTACGTTGATCCAGCTTGGAACATAAAACAGCCATCATATGTACTAACGATGTACACGTTCCTTTATTGAAGTGCAATGTGTCTGGGAAATTACTTTGCTCTTGCTATTTTTCAGCTTTTAGCAACCATGCGGCCTTCTATTTTGTGACAGGTCTGTCTGTAGCTTCTACATTTCTCTCATTTTGTTTTACGAAAACCACTCAAACTTTAACAAGCGTGTCTCCTTGTCCACTCCAGACCAAGAAGAAGAAGTCGAGCCATTCCGGGTCTAGCAGCAGCAGCTCCATGGAGAAGGCCACGCCCAGCCTGACCGACACAGTCCGCCAGCTGTTCTCCAGCGGGAAGACCAACTCTGAGGAGTGCCAGTGTTCACACTGCAAGAGTAAAAGGTACAGTACAGAAAGGTATAGTTGTCAACTTTAGTTGTCTAATCTATGATTTCTTGTTTCTGTCTTGTATCTATGAAAAGATCTAAGTTTTGAAATTTGATTTTTTTGTCTTTCACACATATGTGATTAATCTTAAATTAACAGTTAAATGTACAAGCATGTAACTGTCATGTACAAGTCAAGTACAATGTAATTTTAGTAGTTCAAATAGTACCTATGCGGCATAACATAAAATATATAAATATTAAACCATCAACATTAAAATCGTCAATTCAAAGTACATACTGACTTGTATTGTGGTTATACTGCAGTTGGAAGTAACACCAAGATATATCTGTTTCTGACCAGGTGCCCGTGTGATGAGTGCAGTTTGTCCCACATGTTGTCCGCCGGCATCCCAGACTCCGACATCACCGAGGAGTTTAACTTCCAGCCCCCTCCCCTGCCCCGGGACCCCCTCCCCGACCCCCTGGAGGACATCAGACCCCCCAGCATGTCCTCCCCGAGCTCCTCAGGCTCCGAGTCCTCATCTCCTGTCGCCCCGGATACGCACCACCCCGGCCTCAACTTTGCACCCATCTCTCCTGTAGACCTTGGGTGAGTTCACATTTTACATTTCCTCTTTATCTATTTGAATTCTTTTAGTTTTAGTTTCCAGAAGAAATTGTAGATAATTGGGCCTCAAATTTGATCTTTATATGTGTGGCATACTTCCATGAATTCAGTTTTGCCATTGCTCCACAAATTTCAAAACACAAATCTCCCACCTTTCAACTTTTGGACAGCCATAAATGACAATATGTATAATAGTTTATAGAAATGACAGGATATCACAACAGTAATCAATCTGTCAAAAGTTGAGCATGTTATGCAAGATCCATTTGCCAAAGAAAGTCACACAAGAAAAGTGCATCCGTGTTCAGGGCATCTGTACTTTATGATAAACCATATACCGGTACTGAAGAATATTTCTACATGTATTGGCAACAGTGAGGACGCAGAAGACCTGAGTTCTCAGAAGGGCCTGTTGTCGATGCCACTCCTGTTCCACGGAGAGGGTCTAGCCGATCTCCACACTCCCACACTAGACGGTCACGACGCTGACTACAAGTGGCAGAAATGGGAAGACTTCGCTTACCACAACACGGGGATCATCAACCAAGATACTCTGCAGTAAGTACAACTTATGTTGTTTTTTAAAATGTATGTCTTGATAATGTAGCCTTTATGAGGAGTGTTGACAGCCACTCCAGAGTATGGCTATTGTACTACTAGTGCATTCAGTCCTTTAGTTGGCGAGCTTTCTTGGCCATTCTCTTTGCCTTGTATGTAGCTTTTCTGTTGGTTTCGAATGTTGAGAAGCCATTTTGGATCAGCAGTCATTGGGCACTGTGATCATGGCAGAGAGCTTGAAAGTTTGCAGGGTCGATATGACCCTTCTTTAAGTGCTGAGTAGTAATAGTGCAAAGTATGTCCGCAGTCTAGAATGTTAAGGCTAAGATGTACTGGACAGTCATCATTATAGAGGGTGTGTTTTAACGTAATACTATGATGTTTTATATAATGTTAATGTGCTTACACCTTTTGCAGATGGGAAGATGTGAAGCTCAGCCTCACCCTCAACCTGGAGCACGGGAGCAAAAACGCGTCGTCGGAGAACGGGGTGAAGGGGGACTCGGAGAACGACCAACAGGACGACAACGAGGACAGCTCGTCCGGCAGCCTCTCCCGCAAGGACTCCTCCGCCTCCTCCTGCCAGGCCTCATCCGTGGACAAGGACGAGGACGATGATGGGGATGATGGGGATGAGGAGGAGGAGGATGAGGAGGAGGATGATGAGGAGGAGGTGGAGGATGATGAGGAGGATGAGGACGAAGATGACGACGATGATGATGACGATGGGGACATGTCGGAGGACCAGTCAGATGGGGAGGAGGAAGATGAGGAGGAGGATAAGGAGACAACAGCTGATGTGGAGAAAGTGAGCAGAAATTCTACACTATAAAGCAAAATGGTTTCCACTCAGATTGTTGAAAGTATATTGAAAATATTGAAATTATGCCGCTTCTGCTTGGCTCTTTTACCAATAGCTAAACAGTTTTGATAAACCATGCTGGAATCATATAAACTACTTGTTGTAGTAACTACATCCCCCGTGTCTTTCTATAAACAGTTTTACAGGATTTCTTGTTTTTTCCCTGTATTGTCACTGTTTGGTTAAAACCATTCTCCCTTTGTTCCCACAGAAGGCCGACACGCTGGATGTCACCAACGGCGTCACGCCCTGCGAATGTTACGTGTGTCTGCAGGGGAGACTGGATGCCGCCCAGGACGCTGCGGCGGCCTCCATCACGCCTCACTTCCCCACCGACGCCGCCTCCTTCCCCACCACCCTGGAGGGCCTGCACCTCTACCCCCACATCCACGGCCACTCCCCCCTCGTCCCCACGCACATGGGCCACTCCGTGCGACCCCTCATCCACCCCCACCTCTACAACCTCTACGCAAAACAGCCCCGCACCAAGCGGCACCCCTTCAACCTGGACCTGGACACGCCCGAGGCGCTTCACGAGCACATCTACCACGCGTACGGCGAGTGGGACACGTCCTACGACAGCTCCAAGTTCATGCTGGGGTCCAGCAAGTACATGGGGAGCTTCGGGACCGAGCTGCTGGCGCCGGGGGACGTCCCATTGTTCAACGGGACGGGGTTCGCGATAGACCCTGCCCTGAGCCAGATGAACCCTCCCCTGGCGGACCCCATCCCCCTCCCCCTGACCACAGTGCCCGGTGTTACGTCCGTCAGTACGTCAGCGTCTGAAGCCTCCACCCCGGCCTCCACGGCGGCCAGCTCCCCCCAGAAGGCGCAGGACGTGGCGCAGTCCGAACTAACGTACGACCAGCCACCGCCCTCCTTGTTAGACGGGTGCCAGAAGAATAAGAACGTTGTTCCCCCGTATCCGCCCTCTACGCACCACCACAACCCCCCGCCCGGGGCGTTTGGCATGGTAAACCCTCCTGTGTCCCTGCCTAACCTCGCTGACAACCCGTACTGCTTCAAGCACAAGCCGCCCATGCCACTGTTGCCTCCGTCGCACCCTCATCCCCCTACGAGTAGCTCAACATCGACACCGCCCGCCAAACTCACTGCCGAGATCCTGAGGTCCGCAGCTGTCAACGCAGCTATCGAAGAAGCAGCACGAGCTTCAGGTACGTTATTGGAAGGTTTAACTGGTGCTGAAGACCCTAGATCTTATGTCCTATTTCAGTAGTTAACCGCCATATTTGAAATGTCTTACTTGTTACATGGTGTAAAGTTAATTTATACCTGTTTGACTTATGCTTGACTTATTTCAGTCGCATTGCATATAGTTTCAGATCATTCCTAACGTAGAAAAAATGTGGTATTCCCATGTTACAAATGTACTATGCTAACATATACTGTAGTATGGCCCGTACCTGTACTAAACTTTCTAAAGTTCTAATTTTTCCCCCCTCCCCCTGCAGGAGACCAGAGAGTGCCGACCGCGCCGCCCAGCGCGACAGGCTGCCAGAGAAACCACCTGAGCGCACCTGCACACAAGCACCACCACCCGCACAGCCACCCGCAGCCCCCAACACCTGCACCTCGCAGCTGTGCCTCCTCCAACGCACTGGCAAATATAGCAACATCCTCAAAGTAAGCAGTAACCTTCATTCATTACATGTACATTTCACTAGTACTTGCAACATGGCAAAACAATCATCTCTGTATTACAGTATAGCTGATGTAGATGCAAAATGAACCTAGACCAATACATTTGAAAATGTAGTCTCAAAATGTAGACTGAAAATCAACATTTTCAACTGTTAAATGGTGTATATTCAAGTCTATCCTACTCATTATCATCTGCTGTCCTAATGGTAACTTATTATGAAGGTCAAAAAGACAGATATGTTAACTTGAATGTTGTGAATGATTTTTCAAATATTTGATAACTCACAAGTTGGAACCAGATGTCCCAGTAAATACTTAGCCATTTTGTGTTGTGTACAATCACTACCAGAGAAGTAATTGAAACTCCCCCCCCCCCTCAGTGGCTGTAGTGACCCAGACTGTCTGGATGGCCACAGCCACGGTGAGGACGCCCCAGACGACAGCTGCTCGGAGAAGAGCAGCTCCACCGTCAACTCCAGTAACCAGAAGGACGGGAAGTATTGCGACTGCTGCTACTGCGAGTTCTTTGGACACGGAGGGGTAAGAAAGCAAAAATTATTATAGACACATAAGGCATTTGGCAGGGATGCTCCTCGTCGCATACAGACATTTCGTCATAATCTAGTATAAGGAGACAATAGCATATTTCTCTGAGACTTATATGAATATGTCTCCTCCTTTAAAAACTGCTGAAAAACCTAGAGATAGTAGTGCATTTGTTTTCCCTCAATTCTTTAGTATACACATTCAAGTGATTTGATCGTTAGTTCCTGAACTAGTTTCGACCAACCTGTTGTACTGTCCTTAGCCACTTGTAGCTCCTACTATTAAACAATCGTTGCTGGGACAGCAGGAGATACTGCTGTATTTGTTTTCCATTGATTCTTGTAGTAACCTTCATACACAATAATTTCGAGTGTTAAAGGTCAATACTTGAACCAATATGGACTAACCTGTCGTACTATCCTCAGCCGCCCGTGGCTCCTACCAGCCGGAACTACACGGAGATGCGAGAGAAGCTGAGACTGAGACTGACCCAGAGGAAGCAGCCCAAGTCGGAGGAGCGTCCCATCCCCGTCTCCCAGCCGCAGTGCGTCAAGAGCCAGTCATCGGAGAAAATCGACTCCCGCGAGCTGGAGGAGCTTCTCAATTTCATCAACGGCGGTGAGGAGGAGGGGTCACCTAAAACCAGCTCCAGAGCAGCCAAGAGAGCGCGCCGCAAGCAGAGAAAGGTACGTGAGAGCAGTTTTGTCTTGGAACCTTTCTTGGTTCCCTTTCCTTGGAAATAATCCGAACATTTGATATATTAATGTTTTATGATTTTGTTGGTATGGTGGCCTTAAAATTGTGGCCTTGACTAGGAACACCTGTAAAAACAGATAAACTTTGCACAAGCCCATCTTTACTGTCCAGGTCTACTGCTGTTCTTCACATTATTTCATTTTAGTATATTACATAAGTCTAAATGTTGATGTGTTTCCTGTCCCCAGCTTGCGGAGGAGCAGGCCCGTCTGGAGGAGGAGGCCCGTCAGCTGGAGCTGCAGCGTCAGAAGGAGGAGGAGGAGAGAAGGCAGAAGGAGGAGCAGGAGAGACTACTGCAACAACAGCAGCAGAAAAACAACAAGAAGAAGAGGAAGAGCAAAACCTCCAATTCTGCCGTCTCCGGGGGGAACAACAAGACCTCAGCAGGCTCAAACATCATGGGCACGGAGACTCTCCAGCCTAACGTAAAAAACCCAGTAGCCAGTAAATCAGACAAGGGTCAGCAGAACAGAGTTACGCAGCCGCCGCCGCCTCCTCCCATTGGCCAGGAGACCTGCCAACAAAACGGTTCCCTGAAGAGAAAGAAGAGGAAAGCCGGCAATAGGTCCCCGTCCATCCCGGAGAACAGGTCCAGCTCGGAGTCGCCACAGTCGGACCAGAGAGACAGGGTAAAGTCGGAGCACGCTCCCCGGCACCTCAATCACAAAATAGCTCCTGAGCGGCCGGTCAATCCAAAAGCTCATCCCCCTCAAGAAGCAGCCAACCACAAGCAGCTGAATGGCAGGGCTACCAACAACAAGTTGGCCAACGGGCTGGCAGCTCAGCAGAAGGTTGTGAATGGCCATGTGCCCAATCAGAAAGCAATTAACATCAAGGCAGCCAGCCAGAAGTTGGTTAACGGACAGTGTGCCAACCAGAAGGTTGTAAGCAGCTTGGAAATCAGCCAGAAAGGTTTAAATCATGGCCAGGCCAAGAGAGCGAATTGCACCGTGGCCGTTCACCCGGTCAGCAAGGGTACAAAAGAGCAAGAACCGACCAGTGGGAAGCAGCACAACCTTGCCAAGACCTCTGCAGAAAAGAGACCGGAGATGAACGGCGTTTCGGAGCCTCCCAATAAAAAACAGCCCGGCAAACAGCCGCCGCAGGTGCAGCCACACGACAAGCAGCAGCTACCCAACAAACTGAAGGGCAACAAACCCGGCAAGGATGGCAAGACTCTGGACAGAGCTCTGGAGGAGAGACTAAAGTCAGAGGCACCGGCCAACCACAAGGCGCAGCGGGCACAGCCCCTACCCCGGGGAAAGCACCCCTCCCCAACCCCCTCCCCCACTGGCAGCGAGTCCCCCACTCCACAGGGTAAGACGTCCCCCAACGGCACCAAGAACAAGAAGAACAAGAAAAAGAACAAGAATGCCAGCCCCATGAGTGTGATAGGTGAGTTTAGAACATATTATATAACTGACAAAACATTAATATTCTTGTAACTTTGAGCACAACAAAGTTAACTTATTGTATACCATTATAAGATTACTCACAGTTTCCATATGTTTCCCCAGATGATATCTTCATGCCAAAAGATGAGCCTGAGACTGCTGAGCTGGATGACTTTGAGAAAGAACTGGAGGCCTTCAAAAGGTGAAGTGTGGCAAAGTGTCTCTTTAATGTCCAAGCAAACCAATTAAAATCTAGTGTGCATGTTCAATGATGTACTTTGCTATGCAATATTTAGCAGCAAAGTCAAAATCTTAGCCCTAGACCAATCATGTCTAATTCTTCTAAAATATTTGTCAATGGAGTTGTGAAGTAGCACTTACATGTATGTCTTGTTGTTTCTTCTGTCCGCAGATTCTGCATGAATTCTGTGCCCAAGGAGCAGAAGGAGAAAGTCCACGTCAACATGAAGGACATCATCATCAAGGGCAAGTCCTCAGCAGTCCACGCCCACTGAACCTTAACCTTTGACCCTTGGGTGGAGCAGAAGGTGAAAGTTCATGTCAACAGGAATGATGTCATCATGGGCAGGTCATCCAGCATCCATGCCAGCTGACCCTTGACCTCTGACCCTTATTGGGGAACAGGTCAAAATGTCATGTATGAAAAATATCATGAAGGTCAAGGCTGTCCTGTGCTAATAATGTTGACCTCTGACCTTTAACCTCTGCACAAAAGTAGGCATCTTCCAAGCAACTTTAGTTTGTTTCATTTTTACTGACTTGATTTTCATGGTAGACAAGCTGTGCTATAAGGATATAATAGCTTGTTAAGAAAAATTCCTACAATGCTGCATTATTAGCAGCACATGAAGTTGATATGTACATGCTCCTTTCCTCAAAAATTATTTTACCTTATTTTATGTGGCATCCAACATGTATTATTTTAGGTTGGAGTAACTATAGTATTTTACTTTGTTTTATCCTTTAACTGTGCATCAACTTCTGTACTTCAGCTTGTAAGGAAAAGCTTGGAAGATGTCTACTAACCATCACCAGCCCCTCCACACCAAGCACAGATCAGTCCTCACGATTTAACTCTCGGTCTCATTATTGTCTTCCTTCTGTTGATTAGTAGAACTATCACAGTGTTGGTCTTCCTTGAGTTAGTTTAGAGCAGAGCTGTTCAATCCCAAAGTTTGGTTGTCAAGTCAAGGTGTTTGAGAGACACCAGACACAGTAGATGCTTGCTAGGCTAGTTAGGATAGACTAGTTTTTCATGTATCCCTATGCAATAGTTAGGTTCAAATTGCTAAGTAGTAGTAGAGAGGTTCACTCAGCAGCTAAGGCAAGATAACACAATGCAGCTTCTTTTTATCTTGCACCTATGGAGAGTACTTTGATTGAGATGCTGTAGATAGATGCCTAGTGTGCCAGTAGACAAGCCGTGAAGTTGGAAGACACTACAGTATGTTGATGACATGTTGGTTAGGGTTGCACATAGCAAAGCTGATGTTTAGATAGATTCATGCTGGTGTGGAGGGGTCAGGGGGACTAGTGCGTGAAGGAAATCCAGTTGTTTGGGGGACTAGATCGCTTTGTGCCGTTGGGAACTGTTATGTGGAGTAGATACATGTGTACCCAACATTGAAATGGGAGCCAATGTTGAGAGGGAAACTGGGGAGGGGGGTTGATTCCATACGACAAGAGGAACGGGAGAACCAAGACTCAGTGTTACATCACTGTATGACCTATGACCTCTACTACTGTGGTTGCCACGCGAACCACAGCCTACTCGCTCGACCCCTTCTTGTCTGCACTGCAAAGACGGAAACGATTTCGCACCGAGCCCGCGATGAATGTATGCTGCCCGTATCGAAAAACCCGCTCGCTACAACTACAACTACTTTTACTGACTACTACAGCTATTATACTACTACTACTACTACTTGTGACTTTTTCTAAGAGTTGTACTGGAATCAAAGTCGACCAGTAGTGCAGGCACTAGTGCCTACTTACAGCTGCAACTTTTGTTCTGACTAGCGTATAGCAAAATGTAATGGCAAAGAGAGAGAGAGAGAGAGAAATAGAGTAAAAAATTGTACTTGCTTTTAGCATCTCTTGAATTTGAATAGAATATTCTTGCCTGGAGAGAGGAGCCAGTGAAGACAGGAGTTTGAATGCATGTGACTGGAGTAACTGCCACATTGTTAATAAGAATAGTATGAGAGATTGCACAACATTAACAATTAAAGATAGCTAACCATTGTATCCATCCGTGTCTCTGTGTCTGATTCTGTGTGAAGTATGGGAGCTTTGTGGGTGTAATGTCACATTGCAAGTAGGTGAACAGATAAGAGTAATGCTGGAATTTATAAAGGTGTAAATGAGATTAGAAGCTGCCTTATTTTCTATTTTAGACTAGTAATATTAGTGTGGGTGCCATGTTATTTTCCACGAGCTCCATGCTGGCCGAAAAAATCTTTAAATTTGCTTGGTTGGTCAGGACAAAATCTGATTGTACCCAATATGAAATTAGTGGGAATTTCTTGAGCTTACTATGGTCACGTCTAACAATGGTAGGATTACTTGGTCAGACATGCTCAACATGTTCTGGTGATGTGACGTATTAGTATATTATTTACACATTCACGCTTTTGTATGTCTGGTAAATTATGAACTAAGCTGATTCAACGTAACCTGGTCTAAGGTCCACTACAAACTACACTGCAATCCGCTTATGTGCACCATGATGGAACGTTTGAAATTAAATTCAAAAGCGTGTTTAGATATTCTTTAAACGACAGTTTCAAAATGTTATACTTTTGCTCGTTTCTTGTTTTGTTAAATCCGGATGTAGATGATATGAAGAGCAGTGGCCTTGGTGAGCAAAGAGAGGGCAAACAGGAACTTGACTGAAGAACCTTCACGTCCAATACTGGTCGTGCCGTGTCGAAACGCTTGGCCTCCCTTTGCTATTGTTGCACATACAACAACCTCAACACTGCACAGTATAAAGAAAGGTTCTCATTCAGAAAAAGTAAAAGTTACTTTTGCGTCAAGATACACTCGAGAGTGAAAGGCGTGGATGTTAAGAGTGGTGCGCAGTAATCTTTGGATGAATTCCTACAAGACGTTTTCTATTCACTGTTTGTTCTGGAAGAAATGAGCCGTGGAGGACCTGAGCCCTTAAGACGTGTTTGAGCAGCACTTGATTCGTTGTAACAGGATGTCGCTCATCTGCTCGTTGCCATGGTAACGGAGATCCTGAGACAGCTGGCCAAATGGAGTTTGTAAGGAGCTCTGCCCGCAGGAGTAGGTCCTTTGTGCAGGAGGTCTTCATCCTTGGATGATTAACGTCTATCACGCTACGCTGATGTAAGATTCATTTTTAGACGTCAGTTTTGTTTCCTTTTCGGACTCGAGCCTGATCAAGGTGAGGCCTGCTTTTCTTTTTCTTCTCACTGATTTTCTTGTAGAAAGTCGCTAGTTTAGCCATGGATATGGACCAAAAACTAGAATCAAGTACGAAGAAAATGCTATAATTAGAGTGTACAAGGTGTAATTCGTTAGGAACAAAACAAGCTTATTGTTCTGAACAGATTTAAACAGTTAAGAATCACTCTCTGGAAGGCTTTTTTCTTCATCTCTAGACAGTGCTTGTCGACAGCAGGTTTGGGGCAGTCTTCAACACGGGTTTCTTTCTAAACTTTCTAAACTGTGTTCCTTGTTTTCCTTTTTGTTTTTTCCTTTCGTTGACAAAATGGATTATTTTGTAATCGAACAAGATAAAGTTAGTAGTGGTAGAAATATCCGGATATGCTACATGTATGCTCATGCGCATATAACCTTCCTAACCCCATGTTTCTCCGCAGACCCAGCGATGACGATAACCACTGTAAGGTGAAGGTGAGTTGAAACTTTATCTTCTTGTTCCTGAAACTACATTCATACATGTAGGTAGAGTTATCTAACAAGCACGCGTGCACTTCGTAGCTATTTTTGACACACTTTGCAACATAGTCATACTTCGGCATTCATATGAAACATCGAGAGGGGCGAATCTTTGAGTTGCAAAACGGAGAGGGTTTAGTAAGCTGAATCATGACGTTTATGAAACATTAGTTGACACTAGCTGCTGTTTGTAGCTAAACGAAATTTTCCTTTTGCACTACTATCAAGTCATAATATGAAGTACTAGACTTAAGTACAGATGGAATAATTCAGCATGGCCACTAAAACAAAACATTCTGACATCTCCCTAGTCTGGGAAACAAAAAATGATCAGAAGAAGGAAAGGGTTCAGACTAATAACCATGGCATTTTAATTTAGTACAATGTGTAAAAAAATTAAGGCGTAATGTGTTTTACCATCCAAACTTTACAAACAGTGCCCGAAGAATAGCAGAAATTGACGTACGGCATGGACACCCCTTTGTAAAATACACACTCTCTAGTGAGAAAAGTAAGGGGATAGCAAAAGTACATAAAGCAGGAGGGATGAAAGAGAAGTTTCAAGAAGCAGGCATTGCAACTGTACATATGTACACGCAAAGGGCCGCAGAAATAAGAGGTGGGAATAGTAGTGAGAGGTTTTAGGACTACAGTATCTGCTTACGTGCCTATAACTGCATAGGAACGTAAAGTACCAGAGTTATCCACCAAGGATTGAGGTGTTGAAAAATTCATTCGTTTATGGAACTATCGCATCTATATATAGTGGAACCCGCTGTCACCAAGTACAGTAGGGGCATTATCATAAGATACAATGTAGCTTCTTTAAACAATGTTTAGAGTTAGATGTTCAAGGGTTAGGTGTAACAAGTCGTTCGGTGTAATGTAGCCAGCTGCCGTCGAGCCGCGTGCCTGCGAAGCTGGTGTGTTACGCCGAAGGGCGGTTATTCCGGCTATACAGATACAGATACTAGAAAGTACTTCCTCTTAAAACGAGGTAGTTTGGGTCGACGAACGCTATCCATACGTATCCATAATCGGACCTGTTCTCAATAGGGTGAGCTCCTGGTATCCTAGAACGCAGATTTGCCCCAGGTACGGTTTAATACGCGCGTACCTTTAATCAACCTCCTTGTTTTGAGTTATTCAATTTAGAAGATGACCATGTCACAGTGAGAAGTTGGTTGTGATCTTACCGAAATGTCGTTACTTCTATCATGCCTTCATGGCAAACGACGTAAATTTGTTTGTTGATTTCACTTGGAATTTCTCTTCACCTTCAGCTAACAAGAGAAACGTTTCGATCCAGTTCTGGGCAGTTTGAACTCACCCAATTAAAGGCATCAAAGCCTCATGATACTTGCAAATTATCTTTCCTCGCCCTAATGATGTTCTGAAGATCACCTCAGGTCCGAATGTCAGACGACACGTGTGTGTTTTTACCCTGACGTGTTGGCTCTGATCAAGCGTGCCGCCATTTTGGATTCTCGTCACGTCCACCGCGTGAGGTCGGTCAACGATCTGCACAACACTTCAGCACCTGGAGTGTGTGTAGAGTCTAACGTTTCTATCCCCTTCACAACGACGAGTGCTTTTCCTTGGATTTGAGTGGCAACTGTACATTTTTGTGTACAGTCAATCCTGCCCGCAGTCAACCCGCAATTTTTGGCATCCTGACTAAAAAACGTACAGCCAATGGAAGAGAGGAAAACAAACGACTTTTGTTAAGACTTAAACCTCCTAGCTAAACTAAAGTTCCAGTGCAATCAACTTCCGTCTTTCGAAAAAAAGACAATACCGTTCATTTGTATCTCATTTTCCTAATATAATGAGTTAAGAACCTGGCAGTTGTGAAAGTAGACGACAATGTTTATCACGACAAACCGTCCACAGCTTGCCCTGTAAGCATGTCTAAACTTAACCAAAGCAAACAACAACAACCCAGGCGTCGCTAAGCAAATAAAACCCGAAGTGAAAAAATACAACATATCAAAAAAAAGGAGTCATAAATCCTTTTAAATGAATCACATTTGTGGCCAAGTTCTCGATGATTGCGCAGTCTAGTGACTCCACGAGAGACCCAATCGTAGGTACGATTCGTGTCCATCAAAGCCTCATCGACATGCCGACATTCAAATAAGCTCATTACGTTCTTATAGCTCGGTATAGGATTACTGACGAATGTTGTAGCTACATCCTTTTAAGGGCACTTCATGCACACCTGGACGCCTACCGCCGTGTTGATTCGTTCCGCTCCGCAGAGTGAACATTTGCCCTTTTCTTCTCCGCACACACAGGCGGAACTGTCCATGAACGAGCCTTGGTCTTCTTTCCTGACGGTTTGACACAAGGTAAAATCACTTTTCGCCGTAATTTATCGAGTCTTTTATCATTAAAGAACGCTGATGTTGTAGCAAGTATCTGATTGACAAGTTAAGATGTTTTGTACGTGAAATTTCGTTGCGTGCATTTTACATTTGCCATTGATGCACATGTGACATTCTATTTGGATTTCTAGATGTGGCGAGTGCGGTTGGTATTGGCAGCAACACTGGTGGCACTTTTTGGAGCAGGTAAATTCATCTTTCTAAATATCACTTACAGACTTTATGGATTGTTGAGAAACGTCTAAGACTCTTTTTTACAAAAAAATGTCGCCATCCTTATCATCATTTCCATCATTTTGAAATCAAGATGCCCAGCGTTTCAAATTCTAAACGAAGAATATAACGTTACACCAAAAAAAAGCTAGACAGTTTAGTTTTCATTGGGAATTTTACTTGTTGAGTCTGTGTCATTGGTATTGAGTTATTCGACATTCCTGTCCTTCAGTACGTGACACTAGTGAATCCCTTACAAGAAGTCAATATTTTAACCTAACGGTCTAAACATTCTCACCCCCACAGCCCGTGGCCAGTGCGGCGGGACCCTGTCAGAAGAGACGGGGGAACTGATCAGCCCGGGGTTTCCCACCGGCTACCCGAGCAACTCCGAGTGCACCTGGATCATCCGCGGGGACGTCGAGGACACCATCCTCATCTTCTTCGACAGTTTTAACGTGGAGGCAGACGACAGCTGCAGATATGACTACCTGAGGTAAGAGAGGTCTCTGACTCAAAACATTCAGTAGGTTCAGTGGAGATTGGGGCCAAAACCGGCATCTGCATCTCGAGCTAGCCCGGTCTTTCCAAAATTAGCTACCTGCCTGACTGAGAGCTGGAATTAATTTCGGACGCGCAAATCGATCGATCTAAGACGACATTTTCTGCCACAAAAGTAAAGGGGGCTATTTCGTGAATGCTTTCCAGGAGAGCGCAAGCGGTTCTTTCCGTCTCATTTTTAATCCCTTTATGCGTATGTACCGGGGAAAGAGATGACTCACTTCGCAGAAAGAGCTTCAAAAAGCTTGTTGATTAACACTTTACCCTTGCCTTGTGTACTGTTTTTCTTTAATTCTTAAGATTTGAAAGAAATTTTTAATTCTTAAGATTTAAAAAAAAAGCAAAATCGCTCTTTGGCTATGAAAACCGTTGAGGGATGTACCAAATATTTGGTCGCTCATCACGCAACCTCTAGTGGAAAGGGGAGCTATGTATAGTAGATGAGGACCTGTCGATGTCAGCGTGTGTCTGGTCAGCTGGCAGGTGGTCTCGGCACGTGTCAAACCGCAAACCTCTAATTGGCTTATCTCCATATCATCAATCACAGGACGACACTCACTCCACAGTATCTAATTTACAAACGCTCCTCTTCAACACGTACACGCCTACAGTTTACCTGAAGTCTTTCACAAACACAAGGATGCGTAGTTTAAGTTGGCAAAAGAAAAGGTAAATGAAGGAGAGATTGCCTGCATGCTCCTTAAATACTTGCATTTTTATGTTTTTATTTTGTAATTCTACGTGTAGACGGCCATGGGCTTTGGGATCGGTCTGATCACCGTGGGGTCGTGTGGCGTAACGGTAGAGAATTCCACTCAGAACCAAGAGGTCCCGCCATGTCACCAACCTTGTGCCCTTGGGAAAGGCACTTTACACGACTTTCCTCACTTCGCTCAGGTGTTAGTGAGTATGCAAAAATGGTCGTTATCATGGTCGTGGACATTAAAAGAAAAACAATCAATCAATCGTCCTGTTTTTGTTTTTCAGATTCACAATCGACGGTCAGACGGGAGACCGGCTGTGCGGGGCGGGGTTCTCGGAGTTTGAGAACATCACGGTAACCGGGGAGATCCTGGTGTTCTTCAAGAGCGACGGGACCGTCAACATGCCGGGCTTCAGGCTCATCTACAGAAGTGGGTACAGCAGCGCGCCGGCAGAACGTACTGTGCCTGCGCGAAACCCGAATCTCTCGCGGTTTTCGTTGGAGAAAGATGTTTATTGCCCGAAGTACATGTTTAAATACATGCCCGAAGGAGGCTAATTTCAAATGCAAACAACATATGTATGAAAAAGAAGATACAATGATATGAGAGTCTACGCGTACGTTGGATGCTTGGTCAGCTTTGCATCAGAATTTTGACTGTCGCAGACGATATCTTTTCCAACACGACATTTGAAAACTATGGAAGGGATGTCATCCTTAAAAGGCGAATACGGCCTTAAACGAGACGTTTTGCAAAAGTGCTATGTACAATCCATTACGGGTTTCGCGCAGGCGCAGTACGTTCTGCAGACGTGCCGGGTATCGCCCTCTGTAGAGGTATGCTTACTGTTTTTTTGTAGGTTCACAAGTGATGGACGTAAGTTCTTATCATGATAGAATTAAACTTTCCTCAACCCAACTTCAACCCTCTCTTCAGACTCAGCGAATTTTCCGTAGAATCCACGACCTTTTTAGGAGAACTAACCTAATGAAAAGGAACACGTGACCCAGAGGGACTTGTGACGTTAGCAATAGGTCAAAGGTGATTGGAAGTCGGTATCGACCTCCACCCATCATGGTCACGTGTCTAGAGTAAGTGAGTTAGTTATTAGAGAGGAGCCCAAAGGTTTTGTCCAGTAATTTGGTGAGTCAGAATTTCCATTGGTTGGAAGAAGGAGGTTCAACTCCACCGTAAGCTCTACCGCTAACGGCCACTTTCCATGCTAATGGCTTTGATTCCTGATGCTAAAAAGGGCGATGCCCTCAATATGTCAAGTTAAATAGAAGAATCCAGACCCTCGACACAAAACGTTTTTGTTGTATAACACCTGATCTCTCGCAACTTGAGCGTAGAAGTGCGAACTGAAGAGTACTTTGAAAATGCGAGTTTAAGGCTGAGAGAGACGTACAGAAGGACTGCGCCCTTAGTAGTGGTTGTTTGAGAACTGTAATTGTACGTCCTTCGTCCTTAGGAAAAATAGTCTGACTCATTGAGGACTACACCTGTTTCATTGATTGTCACCAATACGTAGCGTATTTCTGCAACTATGATAGGTTTACGGTACACTGGTCTGCAAACAGATATGGAGGAAAAATTGGTTTTGCTTTCCGACGCATGGTTAACTGTGTGGTTATCAGTGAACCTTTTTAAGAGTGACTTGCCAGCCCAGGTCAAAGTTTGAAGAAGTGAAGTCTCCAAATTGCGCACATCACCCACTTCTTCGGATCATCGGGTAATGCTATAACAGCGACAGAGAGTATTAAACCCCCCGCGATGTTTCTGTCCTGCAGTTGTCAGCCCCACGACCACTACTACGCCTGCGCCGACAACAACAACCATCACGACAGCTCAGCGCGCCGGTAAGTGATCAGGGATCAAGGTGCGGGGAATATCCCGAAAACTTCAGGTGGTCTTATGGACTAATCTTGAATATACGTAATCCAATGCGTAACTAAATCCACACTAATATGGTTCATACTAATGTAAATAACTGCTTGCAGCTTATTTGTAACAATTCGCTTTGGATTAGCCTCAATTTCAGGCCTCGGAGGGACATTCATTTCCGAAAATGAAAGTTCCTTCGCATGTCTGCAGTTGAGGCTATGCCATGAAGTCGTGTGTACTTCTAATTTTGTAACAACCGCATTTATAACTTTAACACAATATCTGCATTATACGTATTAACAATACAGCTATTAGAGGCGTTTGCTAACATGCTAACTCACTAATTGATTAACAAATCGTTGGTTGTCTCTGAATCTTCCGGACATCATGATGATCATCGCGGTTAGAGTCAGGACAACCGGCGCAGCCTGGAGACTGCAGTGACCCGGGAACTCCGCCGGATGGCAGTCGTGAGCTGTCGTCCCTCGCGCCCGGCAGCACCGCGACTTTCACCTGCAACGACGGGTTCGTCTTGGTGGGCGCCGCCACGCTCACGTGCCTGGACACCGGCCAGTGGGACGCCAGTCGCCCGACCTGCTCGGCCAGCGGCAGCGGCCAGCCCCCGGGAAGCGGACGTAAAAAAAAACCACTAACTTTTACCCTGAAATCAGCAAACTTGTGGCCATTACTGTTCCACGGAAATATTGTAGCAAGCTTGCTGATTTCAGGATACAGTTTTCGTTCAAAAGGTCTCAGGTTTCGTCCCTCCAAGTCGTTTGTAATGAATAATGATAATATTAACTCGCACGAAACTTACCAGCAGATGCATTTTACCATACTCATACAAAACTTAACTGCAAATGCCTGGTTATTGCTTACACATTAACAGCGCTACAGCTATATTTACCCTAACTGCTGCTAAGATGATAACATAATCCAATGCTGTAATACATACAGGCTTCTCAGTGCACTTACAACTAACATAACGGTTCCTTGTACAAGGCTTTGGAGGGACGCAATCTGACACCTTCGTCTGTCGAGTGGAGTGGGGTGTTTACGAATTTCAATGACAACTTTGTAACTTACGGTGACGTTTGATGATACATCTAACGCATGTAGTGGCGCTGTAGCGTAGCAAAAGAGAAGAATTATAGAAGTAGAGGAGAACAATACAGATTTTTTTTACTACATTTAAATATCATAGACATCTGAGTTGTTATAGTATAGAAGTAGTTTCTGCCTTACAGTCTTGTTGGGTCCATATGCACAGGTAAGCGCTGTTTGAAGAGACATTTAGCAAAACGTTGTTTCGTAGTCTGTATGATCTTAGCTTAGCCTAGCTTAGATTGGTTGTACTCCTTGGTTTTCATTTTCAAAGATCTGAAATCATGTTTCACCTGTAAGGGGTAGTATCCGATTTGTAGTGACTGAAACGCAAGCAACGCGTACGTTTCCAATGTTTCAAATCACGGTTTTCTCAGCAATAAACCGATCCCATAGCTCTGCCCACCTGCCTCAAACACAGACATGGAGATATGTTTGACGAACCTGCAACCAATCTTTCATTGACCAGGCTATCATTGATTGAATTGCTAATTGCGGCGGGCAGTCAGGATCGGTTTATTGCAACCAAACGTCTTCTAAAAGTAGCCGTTTTAACACCCGTTCCAAACCAGACTGCAGCAACCCTGGCCTGCCGACTAACGGCCTGTCCGTGCTGAGTGACGTGCAGTTCCGCCAGGGGGACAGTATCCAGTTCTACTGTGACGACGGCTACGAGCTGACGGGGTCCTCCGAGCTGCTGTGTGACGGCTCAGGGTCGTGGTCGGCACAGCTGCCCGTGTGTGTCCGTATGTACAACGTTCTTACTGTCGTCGTGTTCTTAATAAACGTGTATTGAAACAACCACAGAAACATATATTGTATAAATGCAACGTTATGGTAACCTACAGTGTAGTCCAAGTATACATGTTATAGTTTAGCGTAATGTAGAATGTACATGTAGGGTCGAAATATTCTCTAGCCATTAGTTCTTTATAATACTCTGTCAGATACAATGTCCGTTGACCATATATATAGCATTATGTTAGTCACATACCAACTAGTAATTTCATTATTTGCCATACATTGTACCCGTGACAATCGTTGTGCAATAAACTTTGACTTTGACTTTTTGTTAAACACCATAAAGTCGTTGAAGTACAAAGATTTTGCAAATTTGTGTGTGATACCTTTCCTGTACATATATGTATGTTTTGAAAACACAAAGGATATTCCTGTGGATTTTTTTGTCAGTTAGGCCGGTTATTGTATATTCGTATCTGATGGTACACTAAACGTGTATTGGAACATAATATAGTGTGATCTAAGTGTAAGACACTATGAAATAGATGTCTAAACTTCATCGACGTGTCTTGGTCATTCATGTCGAGTATTTTGTCAGTAAGGCCGGTTACTGTTTTGTTCCATAGCTGACGGTACGCTGACCGCCGGCACGCCGACCTGGGCGATAGCCTGCATCGCAGTGGGCGCCGTGGTGGGGCTGGGCATCATCGCCGCCATCCTGTACATGCTCATCAAGACGTAAGTTCTGCTGGTACCGTATTTGCGAGGGTCAAACTACTGAAGTATAAAAATATAAAGGTAAAGGTGGTCCCGTAGCCTTATTTAAGGCAATAGGAGTAGAGGGTTGTTAATCCACGGTGTCTGGGGCACGGTATTGGAAGGCGGTGCCCATATCATGGCATATACGTTTCGATGTCTATCAGACACCGTCCTCAGAGCTTCTGACTGGAGTTCTGCTTCTCGCCGCTATATGTAGCCGATGTAGGTGGCGCTCTTGCGGCGAGAACACAGCTTTTGCGTTGTTTTCCATTTAACATGCCCCTAATGTTATTTCTAATTTTCTTACAACCAATATTCACGCCAAAGTAACGCAGTTTTCATATCTGTTGTTCACACTTCCAGGCCACCAAAGGCCGTGCGCGGAGGAACGGGACAGGTCATCCCGCTGTAAGACTGGAGCTGCCGAGAATACAGCCCAACTATGTGTACATATCTTTACTTTGTAATCATTATGTTATAAAACATTTATTCACAAATAGCGCACCCATTGTCATTTCCGTCTATACATGTAAAAATCTCTCACCTGTATTCGTAGCGGATGGTTGAATACAATAACTTCCAAGAAGACCTTTCGGTAGCCAATATACGATTCAATGCGCAAGACAATTGATAACCAAAGTCGATGGAATACTGTCTTGGCCGCCGAAAGATCCGCTTGGTGATCAGAAATCAAGATTGCTATCACATGATGATGGGATAGAATAGAAGTAGTGATCTAACACTTGGAGTTGCTTCTTGTAAATATTGATTTCCTCACCCACAATCACATCTATTCGGATGAGTCTTTAGCGACAGCAACGTACCTTCCAAAAATATACTATTATTGTACGATGTAGTTCAAAAGCTTTCGTCCAATGTCATTCTCAACTGTGTACGTGATCGTATAGCTAGGCGTCTATGTCGCTACCCTGGCTGTCAATCCTAACTTTGTACTCATCCTATTTTCGGATATCATCAGCAATGTTCATTCCATATCGTGCATTGCCACTCAAGTGTTGTCAAATATGAGTAGTTGAAATGAAATTTGGACACTAAAAATCTGGCACTGATAAACCGACAAAACAATGCACCTCAACCACAGGTCTTTTGAGATTTTTTGTATGTTTGATACCCACTTACAGATTTTGTTTACTTTGGTAAAATTGTGGAATGTTTTCACCCACCATTTTGGAGTACTTGAATATTTCTACAACAATGTTGATTGTTTTGCCCTGGGCTTTACGTCGTCTATATGTTTGTACGAACTTCTGTCATTATTTCTTTTGATGTACGAATAAATACATTTTCTTTCATTGTGTCGAGAAAATATAGTTGTATGATGTAGATCTTATACCTTCCCGTTCAGTCTCTGTGAATATTTCCCAGTATGAATGTTTAGTGAAGTATGATTTTTTTCTCTTTGCGCAACAGTGGCTGTAGTTGATAACTAGAGCGAATGGAAGATGATACACGAACTTCCTTACAAATTGACTTATACAAGACACGGTGCACGGTTGCACCGGATTCGTATTGGGCGTAATATGGCAAAAATGTTTTGTTTATTTCAGTTTAATCTTGCTTGACAACCAGGCCGCTCAGCCTATATCGATAAACATATAAACAAATATTTACAGGTATCTTACATTTTAAACATAACGGCCATTTTATTGGCACTGATTAAAACAAAATTACGAATAATATATATGTATTACTTTTAGGATAAGGCCCAAGTTATCCAACGCGTTTCTGAGCAACACCTAGTTAAATTTCATTGACAACGTCTCCTAGGCCAGATCAGACTGACTTAATTTTATGGGCAGGATTTTTAAAGAAGAACAAATGTTACACCGGCGCAACAGACTAACTCTCGTCTTCTGCAAGACAAAGTACACACTTTGTCAAGATTCTTCTCCAGGTTGTGGTGGTACAAGGACGCCACTGTAACTCAGAGCGGAATGGAGTAAAACTGCAGCTAAGTATGTCAACGTCAATATTTCTGTGTTGTCATACTGTTCTTATCCGCTTAGTGGTGCCCCGGACCCGCAGAGGTGGAAAATCGGCGTTTGCGGTATACTTTGGAGTGGTGGACTGTGGGCTGAGTTGTTGATAAGGATAACTTAGTATGAAATGGCTCAGCTTCTATTGCGTCTAATCTTCCTAAATGCCCAGGGCAACATAACTACTACTGAAACACTGTTCATCGTCGACGTCATCACCATAATTTGTCGACGATGCGGGCCACCACCACTGCTTTCCACTTTTTTCTGCCCAGCGCTTATCTTCGTGCTCCTTTCCAGGTAAAACCCATCACCTAGTGTCCAAATACCGTTCATATTCTAGGTGTAAACGTAGTCATTATTTGATGCTGTACTGAGGCGATTTTGGTGCAAATGAGGAAACTGCACTCTCTCTCTACTCCTGTGTCCGTCTAAGTCCATCATGTGACTAATACCCGCCTCTCCACTCCGACTCTCGTGTCCGTATATCACATCACCGCGCTGTTTGTACACAACAGCCGCGACGATAAACACTACTAACGAGACGAAGAATCCGGAGGTGAGACCGGCTGCTACAACGACTGTGGTGAAGGGCACGGTGGACTCCTTCAGGGTGGCGTACGTTGTGTGAGTGTCCTGTCCTTCTTCCGTGAGTGGTCCAGATCCTTGGACAGCTAGGGATGATAACAGTGTTGTACAGATCAATTTACAGTGCTTAAAATGGCCCTATTCAAGACAAAAATGTACTTTTTAGTCAGAAAGCCTACACAAGTATTGGACATAACCAGTTTTATACTCACGTTGACAGTCTGGAGTAAAACCAGTTGGAGACGACTGGCCTGGAGGACATTGGACTTCTGTACCTGTGTTAATGCAGAAAAACAAACGGTTGTGTAGAGTTATTTATTTATCGTTTTTAAGTTACCTATTTTTATTTAGCTATCTTTGTAATTTCACCATTTATTTATTGCGGGGCTGATGCCATTACAAACATATTAGAAGGAATAATCTGTGAACTATTATTTTTAGGGATATGTAGCTATTGATATTTCTATTGGTATATACGTATACAAGGTTCTGTTTTCACTGTTTAAAAACAAACTCACATTTATTGCACGACACACAAGAATCACAAAACTCCTAGGTAGGTGACACTTATTTATAAAACGGTACTGTCGCCATAAATATTACGTATACGCTACTACAAACCTAACATACCTGCGCAGTAGGCCATGCCACACCCGCGTGTTCTGTTGAGGTAGTAGACGAAGAAGTCTCCACAGTTCCTGACCTGGATTCTGTCGGGGAACTGGCAACAGTTGCGGCCCACGTGTGCGCAGGCCTGGTGGACGACAACACAAATATGAGGGTCATATTGTTTTGATTCTTAAAATCAATTCATTTCCATGACTAATCCTGGGAGAAATATGCCATTATGAAATTCCACGGACTAACGTTCTCTAATGCCACAGAGGGATTAAGGTTTCTTTTGTTTATTGAATAATTAGGATTTATTAGGTTTTATTCTATATTAGGTCTTATTCTATATTTATTTTTGTATTTTGTTCAATAGTTGTTGCTATACATTGTACTATGTGCAATTGTCGTGCAGTAAAGGTCTTCATTAACCACGAAGCATGTTTAATAGTTTTTAAAAAATCGCGTATACGCCCCCCCCCCAAAAAAAAGCGCAGCACCCCAAGAAGTCTACAAAAGAGGCTACCTGAGTCGCCCAAACCTCACATGTACACAGTCTACGTTGTATCACATGCTACTTCTATACTAGCTACATGCACTGTACGTCTAAAATGCTGGTTCATTTTCTACATCATGTCTACTTGATCTACATAAGAGGCGATGAGTCAACACCCAAGAGCAATGTTGAATCTAATAGACGTGCGATCAATAAATACGCGGCAGTAATGGAGATGAAGGGGAAATGCTTCACACGTGGTTATAACAAGATCATCAATTGTCGTCTGATGTTTCAAGTATGTCTGAGGGGAGAACTAGAAGGGCGGTTTAGAGCGCGTCTAGATTTTGGTGGTTTGTTTTCTCTTATTGTTTTCAATATTTTTCTCTGCCAAATTTCTTGCTCAATATGTTTCGTTTTCCTGTAAGAACATTCGTACTGTGTGAAATACGAGAGTAAAATATCTATAGGTTTATGTGACTGCCCTCACACCGCCATATATAGATCTGAATCAATAAAATCAAGAGATGAAGGAGTTTTGCGTACGGTTGCCTGTGCTATCTGTCCGGGTTCCTCAGGATGTGTTCCCATCATCCACACCGGACCCGGCGTGCCGCACGAATATCTTGAAACACACGCGGTCGGCATCTGTCCTCCGGCTGGAAAAAAATTTCAAAAAATCAATTCACCAATTTTAATACTGATCAAACGATGTCAATCAGGTCACCGAGAAAATTCATATTCTGATAAGAGTAACACATACATCGAATCACGTGCCCGAATTGTATTTGAGGTTTGCAATGCTTGTAGATAATCGTAAATCTAGATGTTTGCAGTTACATGTACTTTATGACACAACCTTAACCCTTTGAAAAATAGTGTAAAGTGTTTTTTTTTCAAAAAGACTCAACATTTAATACGCTCAATGATTCGTTATTTTGATTCGTCATTTATTCTCTACAATACATGGAAGCATATGCATCTTCTGCATAGCAGCAGAAAACGTTATGATACGATGGAAAGCGTAACATGAGCAAAGCGATGAAACAGAGACATAGCAAAGGACTTTTGAGTCATTTTGACCCTCTATGGCCGGCCAACTCCTCTGGCCAATTGAATTCCCTTTTAAGACCGAATTGTACCATTTATTTAGCCTGCAAAGGAGTCTGGTGGAGACTATACTTACCGAGGCTGTGGAACCTGTACCAGCCCCTGCGGAGTCCGGAGTCGCACAGCTCGGCCTCTCCAGGAGACAGCGGGTAGTTTATACTCCTCCTCGGCTCGTCTATGGTGGTGTGAGACAGACACGGGTCTCCGGCAATACACCTCACAGCAATGCCTCATAGGATAGAAGAACGCAACTCTCTATCAAAATATTTCATATAATTCGTTTTGATAAAATTCAGCAACTTAGTCATTATAATCAAAATAACGTTATACGCAGAACACTGAAAGCCATAATTATGCAAACCATTAACGTTGCATAATACCATATAAATGAGGTATGGATGATTCAATATGTCACTTTAATAGAGCAGCGTATTCAGAATCCGTGGGAATGATATCCGGATTTGCTTGGTATTTAAACCTATTATTTATAGGATCTTATAGCTGCTGAATATCTATTACAGAGTCTCTTTCGTCTCCAGTCCGATTCTCCATGCTATTTTCCGCAGAGACTCGGCGCACTATGATAAGTTTGAATGCTATCGCGATAACCTTGGGCTCACGCGGCCGCGCCTGTTTACTGAGTATCAACACTGCAGGGCTTCAAAAATATTTACACTGGCAGCAAGCCATTACTGACACGGGCATGATGTACGTGACTATCATAAAATATCAAACAATAAAACATTTTCAACGCTGTCATTAGCGAACAACGGCAAAGATTTATGTTTTTTCGCGGCAATTGTTCCAGCCAAAAAAACGGACGTTTTGATAGGGACTAACTGCAGGTGACCTTTGAACCCCAGGGATCCAGTTACATGTTGTTGCGCTGATCCTGTGACCGTTTTCAGAGGTACGTAAACACGGGGTTGTTTTCATGAATGTAACAGGTCATTTATTAACGTAAAAACGTCACAGCCTAACAAGCCAAACATACAGTGTGAACGACGGTGGTACTGTTGTTCAGAGGAACGTAAACACACTAGGTTGTTTTGAATCTATCTCACCTATAAACGGGTCATTTATAAGCACTATAAACAACACGGGCGGGCTGGCTCTCCTCTTATGCATGAAGCACTATACTAGTATGTAAACGAATGACACATATGTTAACACGACGTGACGCATGCCAAGAAGTCCCCAATCTGGGTAGAATTTAATAATTACCATATCAGCCACAAATGGAGATTGGTTTCTAGTACCGAACCTTCACCATTAAGGTTAGAGTACCAAAGAAATCCACTCCTAGGCTGATGTTTTCTGAATAGCTCAATGATCGACGAAAGGCGTAGTGGTACTCACCTAGGAGTATTGGTCCCAGTTGGAGGAGGCAATAAGGTGCCAAAGGCCCAAATACGACGGGGAACTCCATGTTAGGTCAGATTTACCTAGATATCGCACCTACATCGCTGGAAGGCTGGTTGTTTCAGAGGAAGAACGTTCTGTTGGCATATCCTGTCAGCATTACTGGATCAGCACAGTGTACCCAGCGGAGAGTGACGTCACCACGGCAGCCGGGGTCAGACGTACCGAGGACATTCAACATGCAGGGATGTGCCATTTGTGTAGAGGGGGGATGGGAGGAATATTTTTTTCAATACAAGATGTCCTATGGGCAGGAAAACATAATCTTCCACCTGATGTTTAATAGGAATATTGTAGTGTTTTATTTCAGAAAAGCTCGGCAGTCAGAAAACACTATGGAGAAAAAGGGAATGAAATTTGGATTTAGGCAACTATGTAAGTTATTGATTAATCATTAATGACTGTTTCGATTCGATAGGAAGACATTTATTGGAGCGAAGTTTAAAAATAACTGAAAATATAAGAAAAAATTAACTTTTATTAGTGAGCTTGTTGTATTATACAGCTCTGCTAGTGTGGATACATACAGCGATTAGACCCTGTAACCCTGGTATGACGTTATGTGCTCTGTGTATAACTGCTTTGCCTAAACTTGAGAAATGTACAGACAAAGTATATCTATGTTACATGTTGTTCTTACATTTACATTCTAGGTATACGTTTGGTAACTCTTGGCGCATTTTATATCAAAATGTTACGACCTCTCCCTGTCTGGGACCGGTTTTGATCGATGGAAACACAATTAGCACGTGCGAGTGCCTTCTAATTTGATAAATGTGGAATTATCCGAAAGCCCATTTGACAGAGGTGCCAAAATCGTTACTCGAGGGCCAAAGACGTGCTTATCGACGGCGACGTGCCATCTGGTGGTTAGAATTGTCAAGGTCATTGGCAATTCGTCCTCATAAAGTTGCATTTGAACGGAACGAATCTAATGTAGCAATGCGTTCTAGCTGCCAAAACAAATTGACAGACCACAGAAACTTTGAACGCTCCAATTGGCAAAGCAGGGCAGCCGCACGCAAACTTTGGGAAAAAAGCACTTGATTTTCATATCTTCCAACGTCTGCTTTCATATCTTAAAAATGATGAGTCCAAGCGGGGTTCGCAAGAAACGTGCAGATACAAGACTACATATGGTCTACTGCATCATATTTTGTATCATCTAAATAAAGAACGTCGCTGTATGTATGAGACCAGATCTTTTATTAAAGACCATCATTCGTACATAAAGACATATACACGGTGCAATAAAGAGCAGGGAAATCATTCACTGCTTGAGTCAGAAGTAGATGAACATTGAGAATTCGAACTATGACAATCATCACACATCATAACGTAACCATAACATGTTCAACTGAAAGTTGATTCTCTAACGTAAAGAACATTGGTTCAATTTACATACAAACAATAACCTAACAACGACAAGCACCACAGGTAGTTAACATAACAAAGTTAATTACAAAATAAAGAGTTGAATATCATTTTAGAAACCATGAAGTCCTGTTATGATTTCCAACTGATGTAACGTTTGTAGTCGACATGTCAGAAAATGTCGGTGACAAAGACGACCTAAGCTTGCTCCTGACCTATCTTGGCTATTCTCGGATAAAATCTACATATAACTTTTCAAAAACTAGTGAGCCTAAAGAAATTCCAGGTAGAAATGATCGGATCACACAGAATATCTAGAGCAAGACCGAAGATACACAGACTATGCTATCTTTTGACCGCAAAGGATGGAATGTTATATATGAGATTCTGCGTTCATTTTTATTGGTTTGGTGGAATTCCTATATTCGAAACAATTTCTTTTGGTAGGAAACGTACTTACTCAGTGCCCTTGGCTTGATTGTAAATGGAACAAAAACGTAAAGTGTGTCGGTGTCATATTTCAAGTAGCATCAATCACGAACATCTAGTGCATGCCTTCATGCTCATCAGTGATAACAGTACATTGACTGAAGTGTTGAAAATATCTATGTATGTTGTATGTTAATCTATCTATCAGTGTAACTGACAGTGTGTCGTTTGGTTATCCAACAATATGTGACAATTGTATTCTCTTAACATACTATCACTTCAGAAGACAACCACCTTACCATTTGTACATCGTCCTGACATCGTATTCTGATTTGTGAATAGTACTGCAACCTTTATGTATGTGTAGGCAGATGTTAACGTGTTTTTATAAGCTGGTTCATGGTTTAAGTTGCGCATGCACAGTGTGATGCATTGATTTTCATTGTTGGCATTGCAAAGAAGTTAAAACAATTTTAACAGTAATTATTCCACAATATTGGAATGTGCTGAAGTACTAACGTAACATCGGTTATAATGAACAACGGTGCCATGTGATCTGTCCGTTTACAGCTATATATGGCAATGATGTTTTCATTTGATTTCCTAACTAATCAATGATTCCTGTTTTGGTTTCGATTTTGAAAAGACAGGAAATGGAGGATATGAATGTGTATTGGTACATCGACAAAGAATATATCGCAGATTCGTCCCTGGCATTGACCGATAGGATGGTCGAGCCATATGAAGCTACATTATAGGCCCTCCCATTATAGCCTATACTAAAACTACACACTACACTTAAAGATATGTGCTACAAATTCTCACCCTCTCGGCGGCCTTTACAACATGTATTTCTGCTATTACCAGATTTGTTACACAGATTCTTGTATTTGTGAACATTGCTTACAGACTCCTATTATACCACTTCGACTTGGCTATCTAGGGATGACAATTTAGAAGCTTATGGATAATTAGGCCTGTCGTCACGTTAAATGATCCATTGCATGTTCACTTTTCCTGTACATTTTGCCTAAATGTTTTAGGTAAAACTATCGTTTTGAGGAATGGCATGGTCACATTTGTCTTTCTAGGACGCCGTACGATTCTGTTGTAGTATTTTGAAGTAGGCTGTGACAGAATCAACCATCGCTAAGAATCTCAGGCAGCTTTCTCCCAAGCATGACTACAGGATTCTGTATGTTTATCCCAAGAGTGTGCGACTAGTCGACTTAAAAGGCCCTCAGTTTGCGATCGTACGACGGTCGTACGACGTATGTGACTGGGTACTAACTTCGAAACTTGAACCTGTGCTCAATTCGCAAGATAAAAATACTTCCAAACACCTTGCGGACGCCACTTGTCACATCAGACTACAGACTTGACTCAACTTGTTACGACTATTGTGTTTCGTCTCAGGTTGAAGAACGTCCTCGCCGCTGCCGTCCAGGAACATGTCGTTGTCGACCATGGCCCTCTTCGCCTCTTTCCTGTTCTTCTTCTCCTCTGAAGCATCCTTGCACTTGTCTTTGGTCTTGGGTTCCTGAGCCGCCAGCCCCTGAGGAGCGGGGATGATGGTCGAATCGGAGGAGTCGGAGTCAAACTCAGCGTCCTCGTCTTCGTTCTCTCGCCGTATCTTCAGCCAGTAGGTTTTCATCTTCCCCTTTCCCTGCACGTAACAGCGGAAAAACATTGGTTTGGGTCATACAAAATGCTGAGTCGTATCGTCAATACTCCACCTGCGTATGTGTCTCAATATGTGTGTCTGCCGTGTTAAATTTGTGTCTTAAAGTGGGTTTGTCTGTGTCTTATTGTGCGCGTTTGTGCGGCTTTGCCTTCTTGCTATCGTTTTCATTGAATCACGAAACGCCAACAATACAATGCAAGGAATGTGTGGGGCCTAGAATAGATACATTCTTCACCTACCTTAACTGAAATGAGTCCCCTCTCTTCAATAATGTAGGATGTCTTGAGGTATCTCCTGGCTGCTCCGGTGATCTGGATAGTCATTGGCTGTTGAATGATGTACAAAATGTCGTCAGGGGCCGCAAAAGAGAAAGGATTAAAAACTGAATGTACGAAAAAGAGACGGCAGAAAGAAAAAAGGAAAGAACTTCGTCATGATAGCAAGGTCGTCGTACGAAGTCAGCGCTGCGAAGAGGAATATAGTGCCCGATCAAAGATTGAACCATTTCCCTCTATCAGGGTAGGCTGAAGTAAGTTTAGTAGAATGCACAGCAGATACTGACCGCTCCAGTGCTTTCCATTCTGGATGCTGTGTTGACCGTATCACCAAACAGACAGTACCGCGGCACCCGCAGTCCCACCACACCAGCGACAACAGGACCAGAGTTCATTCCTGGGAAAATGTACATTTTATGACATTAATAACAGCTGAAAATGTATGTTATAGTATCTAAAGTTTGGTTCAAATTGTAAACACTGTCGTAAAGACTTGTGCTGCTAATACCTATCCTGATTTTGATGGTTTCGCCGTTGCATGGGTCACTCAGCTGTCCGATGGCGTTCAGCATGGCCAGAGACATATCCGCCACGTCGAAGGCGTGCGCTTGGGTGGGGATGGGCGCGCCGGACTCAATCATGTACTCGTCTCCGATCGTTTCCACCTACGGAAAGTACAGGGGCTTGAAGTTTAACTTTGCCTTCGCTAAGTTAAGTACGCCATGAACAACTAAATACTAGTGCCAGTTCTAACAAAAGATTGTATATGTTGCTTGTATCAAATAAATTAGACCCCCGGCTAGCCGGCTACATTCATCGTAGAATCACCGTACCATCGGAAGCATAAGGAATTCTTGGGCAGTCACAAATTCAGCTGTCTGGTTGTCTAAAAGGCGGTCTTAGGTCCTTGTCAGTGGTTGTTTCTGTCACAACCTCCTTGACAATCTTACGATATCAAATCGTACGATTACCTACGACAAATGTTTGAGACCTTCGGGACAAATCTATGATCACCAGAAACTAGAATTACACATTGAAGGCAATGGCAATACCTTGAAGACATTATACTGTTCCGTCAGATTGTCGAAGATGGTGTAGGCGTCGTTGAGAAGCGTCACCAGCTCCATAGGTTTTACCCGGCTGCAGATGTCCGTGAAGCCCACGATGTTGCAGAACAACACGCTCACTTCTTGGAAGATCTGTGAAACGTTACCAGGTACGTCTTAAAAACATTACCAGATACGTTTTAGTGAAACGTTTTTGTGAAACGTTAAGAGGTAAGCTTTAGACTACCTAGCAAGTACACAATAAGTTCAATACCTATGTGCTCTTTGCTAGGAAAGGGTCACAGATTTTAACGTAAGAAAGTCGACATGAAGCTGAAGCAAACGAAAAGGCAATTCATTTAGAAAACAAATACATATAAAATACCTACAAATAACATGGCATTAAGCGTTGTTGAAAGCAACACAAACTTGAAGTGACACAACAGATATAGATACTCAGAATACGCTACTGAAGCAACTAGTATCACTATTATCACAACTAGACAGACAACCGAACAACTTACATCGTTGACTGCTGGTTCCCCGTTCCTCAGTCTGTCCGCGACGGCCTTGGGAATCATGCTGTACAGCAGCTCGTCTGCCTTTTTCTTCTCTTTTTCAATCTTACTGACCAGCTCAGTAAGTTCATCATTTGTCTCGGCTTCCTAGACAACCACAGGATTTGATATCATCAGAATTATATCCATTCATACATATCCTTATCAGCAAAACGTACAACTACAATGATGTAGAAAAAAGAATACAATAAAGCTGAAAACATGTAAATTCAGTCTTATCAGTCAGACCTTGTTAACGGCTAGCTTTAACTCGACGGATGGCTGGGTGCCGTTGATGACCATCTCCCTGGTACAGTCGTGCATACACAAGTCCGTCAGGTACAGTCCGTAGTTGAACAGATCCTCCAGGTTCTCCATACTAAGTGAACACATATCAGCGTATGATTCGGAAGTGTCGAAAACTAGTTTGATTCCAATTCAGGTGAACGACAACACAAATATTTTCATCAGCAAATGTTACAACTACATGTACACTGATGTAGAAAAAGAAAACAATAAAGGTACATGTACAAACATATAATGTCAAACTACTTGTACGGCTTGCTGTAACGAACACTGACTGCACTGTTGCTTCTCTGGATATGCTGCACGTCCACAATAAAATTCAAAGAACGTTGAAGGATCTTACACTGGTGTGCCTACAAAGAGCACGGCGTCCCATTCAGGCATGTACTTCATCTGTCCCTTCAGACCGAGATACTTGGACGTCGGTTTGGACGGCTCCACATCGTCCGTTTTGTCCACCAGCCCCATCATGGCATCGTCTGGAAGCATAGAAACATCGTGTTTTGGTATCAACATCAAACTGCTAAGAAAGAGCATTTTTTTAATTTCTTAGTCATGGTGAAAACGTCTCGCCCCATATAAAACAGCGATAAAGGTTATCAGCAAACCAGGGCAATGAAATTCGTCTGAAAAAATTACCCATCTTGTTCTCGCATTTTGATGCACGGAAACGTCATCTGACGTCCAAATGCGGTGCAACTTTGGATTCTGACAATACTTTGACCACAACCACGACTGAATTGTAGCTCCATATTGCCCTGCACAACTGTGGTTGATTCAAATATGTCCCAAAGGACACGTGCATTACATGTGTATAGATCTTCATCAACATGATATAACCAAATAGTGTTTAGATGCTGTTAGCAGCAAAGTATGAATTCTTAACTGTGAGTGCTTTCGTCTCACCTGACCATCCCAAAGCTGCGTCTATCATTGGTGCATGGTCAGGAAATATAGTAGACATAGAAATATAAGAGCATAAGAAACTCAAGACATGGTCAGATGGACAACAGACTCAAATGTACAACACACAAAGGCAATAAGCATGCACGAAAATGGATTATATTGATGCGATTGTTGAAGAAGTTGTGGCAAACTTTAAAATCATCAAAGTTGCCCAAGCAATGCGTGACAGACAACGAAGAGTAGCAAGAGAGTCTTTGGTGATATTGTAGTCTGAATTCGGTAAGGCAGAATGAGTGTCCAGAACTCTGTGGCAGAATATAACGTTTTATTTATGATTCCAACAGGCTTCGATAGAAGCACTATGTATGGTTTTTTAATAGTTGTAGGTACTTTTCATTTGAAATCTTTGTTTGAAATCTGATCCAGTCCATGCCCTTTCTCACCATATAATTTCTTTATTTCTTTTCCAGGGTTAGCTTGAAGTTTGACTTTAAATGATTCACGCTCAATTCAAGTGAACATGGCTAATACATTTATTCATTTACATGCAGGGCACAGTTGGATGTTTTGAGAATCAGTTGGACAACCAAAAGAAAAACGCATTTTCAACACCTCATACGCCGTTTTTGTACCGAGCGATTTACTCACAGTTGTTTCCAAGACTCCCTTGCTAATTTAGCATAGCCCAGACAACGTTATAAATGCACGTCACATTTAGGTTATGGAAACGTGTAAACCACTAACTTGAATTTCCACTCCACTTTAGTAAATCTAAGACCGTCGAGAAACCTGAAAACAATGATAAAAACGGCGGTTGTTCAAGTCATTTTCTACAGAATGGACAGAAATTCAACCTTCCCGAATTGAAATATCATTGCTCTATCACCAGCCCACAGAAGTAGTTGAATCCCTTCCCCATGAAGTTAAAGTTGTCTATTTACAAGCTGTGACTACATCTGTGTTTTAGTTTCACACTGTCAATTACAAAAGATACAATATTAAAATGTATACATGCAGCTTAGTCAGTGTTATCGTGTGTATTTTGGTAATTGTACCAATGAATAGAGGGGGAAATGAACGAAATTCTTAAGGACAGCCTTACTGAAATGAGATATGACTATATCATAACAATCATAAGATAGCAAAAAAAAGAGACTTAACTTACAAATGATTAAAGAAAGAACAAGAATACTCATATCATTGTCTACGCATCAAATAAACAAGACAACTTACCGGCCTTTTTGTGTCGGTTTGAAGTTTGTTGAGATGAAGGTATCTTAACATCCTCATTCGAGTCGTCCTCTAAGTCACCTGAAAGCAGAAATGACATCATGCTCAGTATGCCAATGGTCACCCCTAAAGTTCTGTTGGAAAGTGTCGAAGTTGACAAACAAGTGTTAGGAAGGACAACTTCATCTTCATATTAAACAATCACTTTACACAAGTGATATTCCCACAAACCACTTGTTAACTGATACGCCTGCAGCTGAGGATCCGTGGACCCGTCTTTCAGTTCGGGTGCGTCAACAGGAACGGGTACGATCTCCGGAGCTTTCAGTGTCGTTGCCACTTGGGCTTCGCTGCGCTCCCCTTCCCCAAGCTTGGTGTAGCCTACAACTTGAACGGCATACGATGCGCCTGGTTCCAAACTACTTACAGAGATTTCCTAGAGAGAGTTAAAAGATATCATTGTCAACCACAAGAAAGTCTGTAACATGATTCAACACGTTGTTGAGAAAATAAACATTTCTGAAGTTGATGGTGAGACAATCTTAATGAACATGGAAAGTTTTGTAAAGGTGAAAGATCCCTCTCAACTGAAAGTTGCCATTAATACGAAATGTATCCCTTCAGGAAACTGCGTGTTCAAACAGCTCCAAACATGTATTTATTTTATGCAATTGTTTCAAAGAAGTGAAAATACGTGAAGCATGAGCTGCTAACAAGGAAAAGCAATTCTGCCAACATCACAACATCATAGAAATGCCAAACCAGCACATATCATATCAAGCTTGCAAGAACAAAAACGTACCGTTGTTTTGGTGTTCCACACATCTACACGCATCGGTATCCCCACGGCCTCACCAGTGGGCGTTACTTTCTGGTAGTACACCTGTGGCAGAACAGAGTTATACGGACATCAGCCCAGTTTAACCATGAAATCCTTTAGTGGAGAGGGGGTATTATCAAATGATACAAACATGTCCAGAAACTTCTAGTACATTGTCTCTACGTAAGACGACTGTCAGTCGATAGTGTAGGAGATATTTTTCAGTCTACAGACTAGTTCAGATACCCATGGAACAACTGTGGCTTCTCATACCTGATACCCGTGGATCTGTTGCTGTTGTGTGAGGGACTTGGGCGGGTTCCATTTCACCTTGACAGTCGTTGAATCGATGTTTTCGATCTTCACTCCACGAGGTTTGTTGCTCTTACTAAACACTAAGAAAAAGATGAAACCGTTGACATTACGACTCAGTTTATAGGAAATGGGCCAAGACTGTATGTGGAAACGTTAGTAGAATGAAATTAAACTTAACATTTTAGTACAGTGCATTATAGGTTTTATTAAGATTCGGTATCCATAAAGGCAATTAGAATCCTACGTTACCAGCAGTCACTATCACTGTGAGCAACTGTCTCTTCTACTATGGCAAATTATAGTTCTGGTTCTGCTATCATTGACTGCCATGGTTAGATGCACTAAGACCCTCCCGAATACAGGACGATACTGCAAACCTAAGAAAAACAGTTTTATTCCATCCATCGCACATCATAAAGCTCGTAACTATTACGCTGAGAACTGACTGGCACAGCAGGGACTAACCTTTCTCCTTGCTTGGCAATGCGACATTCCTGCGTTCTACCGGGCTGTCTGAGATCAGTTCGAATATATTGTTGGAATGCAGCAAAATCTTTGGGAGGACAGAAAATGGAGAAGATTAAACCCTCAACAGAAGCACATACGAACACAGGTAGTCTTTTATAGTCTTTGACATTTTGATATATGATGGTATGGACAAGCTACACGTAAAGGTGTTTACTTACGTTGTCCCAGGTGAATTCGATGTGCTGTGGTCGGACGACGAAGAACACATCGTTCACTCGCTCTCCTAGCAGCTCAGGAAGAACCTCTTGCAGTGCGAGTCCCACTTTGAAGATGACCATGTCCCGTCCGAATACGATGTGAAACGGGAAGAGCTTGAAGAAGGTTTTGCTTTTGACAGGATAGACCTCGTTCAAGTTTTTGGGTGGTTTGAACGCCGGCAACATGGTAGAAGTGTTGTCATAGTGAACTCTGAAGTGGACGAGAGTGACCCCTGCATTTTCTTCTAACTTAACTTCTTCAGACAGTACTTCAACTTTTACGTCTTTTTCGAAGAACTGCTTGCTGAGCTGCTTGAGAAGACCCCTCACCATATGTAGGAAGCCCGGCCGCTTGCTCCGGTATCGCACTGTGATGCCGGTACTGGACTCTTCTTGGCAGGAGAAGCTGGGCGGCTTGATCTTCGGGTATTTGTAGCGGTAGTATTCATGAACATTGTCCAGACCATTCATAAAGGAAGCGATGTTACGGCCTAATACTTTAAGAACCTTTTCGTACCCGCTACGCATGTAAAAGTTCAGAAGTGATACGCCAAGGTCGTACATGAGATCTCCCTGCGTTTCTCCTGTGTATTCGCATGCTGCTGTCGAAATTCTCAGAAGGAAAGTCTCTGGATACGATTGGTTGAGGACGAAGCTGGTGGCCCTGATACCCGCTCTTTTCCTGATGTTCCTCCATATGTCCACACCGTACACTCTCTTGAAGAAGTCGTGGATGTTTTCCAGCAGAAGTCCATACATGGCGTATACTTGGTATACAAGACTGACCGACCGAGAATGCAGTCCCTGAGTCTTCTCGCTCGCTCTCTCCCGCTCTGTCCCACCGTCCACTCTAATGGAACGGTACCACTAGGGTCGCTGGGAACGCACAGGCTGGTGCATGCGGGTAACGTGGCCTGCAAGGCTGCAAGGACGTCATGATGGTCTGTAAACAACAGCAGCCTCGTCCGTTGCCCACCGCTGTCGGTTACCCTCGTGGTATCCTGGAATCAGGAATGCCCCTTTTGGGGCCTGTGGGACGAGAATTGGCATATTGACGCAAGCGTAAGCAACATTCCACGGCCCTCGAGATGGCCAACACCATGTCTCCAGGCGGAATCTCAGCAAGGGGAATGTTAATTTTCATCCCGTAGGGACAATCCAATTAGTTGCCCTTGTAGGAGCAAGGCGACCTTGATTCCCTGGGAAAAGCGACATGTGCCACCCAGATGTGATCCAGATGAACTGGACACTGCACACCAGGACTGGGGCGCTTCGCTCATCTTGTCGGCCCTTCAACAGACAACCCTTTAAACCTACACTGAAGTTCCGTGGTATTTATCCTAATTTGCCTCAAATATATCTATTAATCTAACCTTAAATAGTATACATGTATAACATTACACTGCACGACGCTTTTCAAGAGTTCAAGTTTTGGTAACTATGTAGAGAGACGTTCATCATCGCTATGGAATTTGATGCTAAATGACGATGTGTTTGTCCCAAACATGGACATTGTATTGCCACATTTTACCGTCTATAGGTAGGTAACGTCAATAAGATCCAAAGGATTACTGCTATTTTGGGTTCCCGAATAGGTTATAAGGAGCGGGTCCTACAAACGCGCGGGTTTCTGATGAGATCAAACAACGAAGTTAGCAAAAAAAGAAGATGGCGAACAACTATATCTTTGTGCTAAAGTGTTGTTATGCAATGAGGAAAAAGTGTCAGATTTGTTAGCAGACATATAAGCGCCTCTATTCTTCGCATTACCTGATCACGTGATAGGCACACCTTCATCTATGACGTGAACAGTAACCAATCACGGTGTAGTAGTACTTCCTCCCTGCTATTTGAATTTCCCACCATGAACATATATGGACACGCGAGCTCATGAGCCCTTGAATTATTCCAAACGAGTCTACTTGATAAACAATAAACAAATAAACAAACAAACAATAAACGACAATCTCATTTTTATGAAATATCTAAGAAATATCTTACAAAATAGATAAAGTTACGATAACAATTGAGGCTTATGCTCTATATTGTACTTTTAATGAGTAAGTTTATTCAGGTGGCTGTATATGTTCTGCTGCAAATTACGTCTTTAATTTAAAGACGCCTCAAAACAACACCTTGTGCTAAGATCACATCAGTTTCCATACCGGGATCGTGCAGGGCTGTTTGGATGAACGAAAAGTGAACAATTCGTATCATGAATGTACACAAATACTGCTTATTACCAGTTAAAAAAAACTTTTTTTGTTTTGTTGTCTTTTATACATGTATCATAGCTTACGTTCACGTCGAGCCCCGGGCCGGAATCGTGACCTTTACATTATAATGATATACCCTTGATTAATAGTCAACGAATAACGATGGCCGAAGTGACACTTTTCGTGATCAAATTCACACTGATGATTCGTGGATTGTCAGAATTTCGGACCTATATCTGCCGCCACATGTCAGTTTGTGTAGTTAGCTCCGTATGGTACTTGTACGTGTTTTAAGGTGTGTGTCGATAAGCAGGATATCTTGCTCTCGAAAGATATTTTGATATCTGCAAGCTTATTATTTGATATGTAAAGTCTAGCTGTAGGGATTTATTCCTCCCTTTATTGTGAGGTATTGGATACATCTACAAAGATGCGACTAACTGTTGCGTATATACTTGTTTTTCAGCCTATGAGCTGTATATTGTTGCATATTATCAATACCTTCAGTAATGCTCACTGAAATAAAAAAAGAATTCAACACGCCACATCTTCATTTTTCACGTCAAGATTTATTTAGGATACAACAACACAAACATCATGAGTCGTACTTATACAGTGCAACGAAGTTATGTTCTACCACATTTCCTAAAGATGTCCAATATCCACACACTAGCTAAGCAGGATTCACACATAATGCATTCCTGCACATACTCATTATACAAAAACAACACCCTTGTCACCAACTATCAAACACCATAATTATAAACATGGATGGTAATCAAATATGTAAGATGTGCTAAGAACTGTTCTTTCACGTAAGTGCCTCGGAGATTTCTTTGAATTAATTTTGTTCACTCACAGCAATACATGTATTACATCATTAATCCTAAGTAATAATCCATTGCTCAACGTACCTAAGAACTGAAGAGTTCAGTGATGTCCAAGAAAAGAGAACGATGGGCGGGGGAGCAACAAGGAAGTTTGAACGTATAATGCAAGGGGTGGCAAAACATGCACCTGACAGTATTCTTAAACGTATGTCTTTATACTTCAATCAACCTTTCATTATACAATTCAATACTTGATGTTTCACTCGCCCATCACTCCTTTCCCTGTAACATGCCTTAGGAACGCGTCGTTTTCCGCAGTATATACATTTTGCAACACAGAACCATTTCTTAGCAATGTACATTTAGTAAGATCTTTCTTTATATGCACATCTCAAAATGGCTGTTAATCTGATCTCAATATTTCGCCGCATTTTGTTGCAAAGAAGGTCCCCTGACATCCTTCGAAAGATTTCATAATAAAAGTCCCTAGTGTTGTCTTTAGGTTCATTTTCACGATTATGCTCGTGGGTCTACAGCCCAACAAACCTGCCCAGTGTTCCTGTGCATTATTAGCATATTTTGCACACCATATTCACTCAAGATTAAAATAAATGAAAAAAGCCCTTCCGGATAAATGTAATTTAAAGACTATTGTATTAGGCACTACTAAAGTCTTAACAGTACTACCTATGATTTCGCATATACATCTTCCCTACATAAGATGCGACTGGACAATACACGGACCTATATTGTATGCTGCATAGCGGTTTTTGGTCAAGATTGACTAAAACTACATGGAAACAAAACACGTTCGTCATCATGACAAAAACGCCTCATTAACACAGGTTTCGAAGCCCTCTAATCTCCCACTTTTAAAACCCGACAACCTGGTTTCAGCGAAACTGTGACGAATAACTCTAGACAGCTCGATCCTCAAGAAATGGTACGCCCCAAATTCCATGACATCATAGCTAGCAACCCTAGGCTCTGTCAAAGCAGCGAAAAACGTGGCATGGATAATCACATAAGGTTTGGGCCACAGCCTCTAGAACATTACTAGAACGCCAGCACAACAAACTGCAAAGAGGCCCTTAATGCCGATGCAACTCCTAACAGCATTCAAAGATGGTTGAGACCACTGCCCTACCTGACACCACAAATAGAAGTTAAGGACGTCACAGAGTCTGAGGGACAGCTAGAGGAGCATCGTGGAATTTTGCAGGAAAATGTGCTAAAGGACAGCTAGTGAAAGCTCAGTTAGGACGCTCTTTTGAATCGATTCACAGCTTCTGCCAATAGTCCCCGTCTTCCTGCAACGTGTTGCTTTGGCGATGTAAGCCCAAAGTCATGACCAATGCTTTAACGAAGTAAAATGCTAGGATTTCGGATAAAAGTTCATACTTTTGCCAAATATTCATAGTTTCATCCTTTGTCGTCGCCACAGTCCACGTCTTCCTATAAACAAATACCTCCAGAAGCCAGAATTGGTTGAACAACCTACCAGAAGACCTTGGAGCTGAAGGACCCGACAGTACAGTTTGAACAAAATACGCAAAATAGGCAAGTAGCACAGACCAAACAATGAGTGCCGACATATTTAGATCGTGAAATTAAAGCTGCCAAAAACTATGTTGTCCCTCGACATTACCCATCATGCAAACAAAGTAGCCTGCGATCAATAAAATTCTCTATCATGATTTTTATGAGTTAAAGCAAAGAGATGCTGTCCCAGTCCTCGTCCTGTCACCCGTAACATTCAGGTGTTGTTACATGGTGAAAAATTGGTATAACGAAAAGGTCATAAGTACAGGATAATTTTTTTATCAAAGAAAGCAGCCAAGGGACTCGTCTGAATATCTGGCAGTGAAACAGTTTTGGAATTGTATATTTGCCGGGAAGTTAGTCATACATTGGTGGATAATGACACATCTTCCGTGTTTTAATTGTTGAATTTTTTAAGTCAACAAATATGCTAAGGTACTCTAAACGTACTCTATATACTTTAAGTTCTCTTTAAAGTTTAAGTCGGAAGTGTTTTTGGAGAAGGGCTAGTAACATTCCCTGGAGAATAGAGGTCTCTTTTGACTCTGCAGTTACAATTATTTTTGTAATTTTAGTCGTTATCCATCTTCCTAGGCTACTGTGTGTAATTCTAGCTCCCTTTAAATGCCACAATGTCTGCTTCGTAGGTACGTTCAACGTTATCGTGGTGTATACCGCAAACAAGCATCGGTGTGAGCTACCCGCTCTAACATATAACTGGTGGTTGGAGAGGCTGACTCCACTCTTTAAATCTACTCTATACTGAAACGGCCACATCACATCACAACCAACACCATTACCAGCTGGCTAAGACAGCGTCGTCCATTTTACAAGAGTTACTCAAACCGTGTAGTGAAGATCATGTCAGTATTGCCACATTCTAACCTATACCGAAAAGTTTCCTTTTCTTATACTGGTCATTCTATATGTCAATGTTCGATTGCAGTCAGTTTTGTAATATGCCTACAATTATGTCCTTCTGTTATAAGTTATTTTGGGCTATGCTTTTGATAAATGTCCGTGCTAGACAACAATGAGAACCTTTCGACCTGCCAATGTAACAAGCCCATGCAGGAATACTTGAGTTGAAAAGAATGTCGTAGCTAAGACAAGGCTAACGGAGACGATCCGACCGACGGATATAACGTGTAAAAAGTGGTGATTTGTTGGCTGTACATCTCATTGGATAAACTACACTGTTTTACATACAATATCATCTTTCACTCGATCAATGAGCACAGCTCTAACAATGTATACACGTGCACCAGCAAGTCAGTGGTTCGTAGACACTTGTCTCATTAGTAAACACATTTCTGTTTGTTGCTGTTGTTACTCTTATCGTTACCATCATCTCTTACAGTTGTTTAAACCCGTAGAGAATGTGGTTTAGCCAAAGCCTGCT